GTTTAGGAGCTGTAGAGTGACTGTGGAAGTCCATTTGCAATACCAATGATTCTAAATCATCTACCAACTCATATTACAAGGCATCCTTGCTGAAAAGTACACTCAACATAGGTGGAGACTCAAATTTGGCAAATTTTGGCGTAAATTTGACCTCAGAAGTCAAGGTTCTCCACCGCGGTTGAGTGGTTGATGGCTAGTTTGATGAGTTGTATACATGCTAAAAGGTCACCCAATGTTATTTCTTCCAGAAATCAACTGCCAAAGCTCAACTCAACAAGGTGGGGCCAGTTTTAATGTATTTTTTAATGTTTTAATGTTTAATCAACAATTTCTCGACCTTGTTGAGCACCTTTTCACAACTTTGATAGTTTTTTCATTTGCTAGAACACTTTGCTTTAAGACAGAGGGGATAACAGTTTTATGATCCCTACAGTAGCAGTTAACAGAGCAGATTAGAATTAGTGATAAAACCAATGAATTTAGGCATGTTTGACAGGCTTTTTACTGTTTCTTAATGAAAGATCTCCACCCTGTTGAGCGTCAATGGAAAAAACAAAATTTAACGGGAAGTAGAAAAGGCCGAGACGCAACTTTCTAGCTAACCTAGAACTCTCTAAACCTTTCTCCACCCAGATTGCAAATTTGATGTAGTTTGTGTTACCAATAACCTTTTCCACCTTAATCAAAAGTTTCTTCAACCAGAGCCAGTCTCCACCTTAAATCTCCACCTTTTAAGGGTTTGTTTAAAACCACCTGTATCTGCTCAACCGTTCAACCTTTTAATTTTATTCTTTTACTCAGAGAAAGTCCTGAAAAATGTCTTGTCAGCCATATAATCAGGAAGTTTCATTCTGTGTTGAGCTGGCTCCACCACACACTTCTAAAAAAGTAAAAAATGTACAGGTTGTCTCCGAACTTGACCATATCAGCTTAACTTGCTGGTAGTACGTTGCTGGTAAGAAAGATGGGGAAATATTATAGAGCTGGAAACTTATTTGGTCAAGTCTTTAAATGGCATTGTGACTTGCTGCATCATACACACTAACATTTCTTGGAGAATGGAACTAACTGACAAAATTAAAATATCCAACCTCTAGCTCTCAGCATTGTAGGTATGCTGAGGGAATTGGGCAGGGTATTTATCTTCGTCAAACAGTATCTTTTAAGGGGGCAGGGGGGGTCTTTATGAAATTTCTCTCGAAATTGATTTTATAGTTGTTTCTTATAGAGGGGAGTGATATCTACCAGATATTTTTGGTCCCATGGAAAAATTTTGTTCCTAGCCGAAACTATTGCCGGTCAAAGGTCAGCGCTCATGTGTAATTGTATTGCGCGAGCGATTTTCAATCGAGCGCCCTGAAAATCGAGTCTAAAAATCTATCTCCTCCTACATTTTTTGAGCAATCACCTTGAAACTTTCAGGATATGTTCTAAGGACCATTTAGAAACTTTTACTCTTTTTAGAATTTCGAGATAGGCCTTTAAAAATTTTTTATTCGATTTTGAAAATCTTGGACCTGAAAAAATCGTCAAAAAACGAGGTCCAAGATTTTCAAAATCGAATAAAAAATTTTTAAAGGCCTATCTCGAAATTCTAAAAAGAGTAAAAGTTTCTAAATGGTCCTTAGAACATATCCGCTTACACATGAGCGCTGACCTTTGACCGGCAATAATTTCGGCTAGGAACAAAATTTTTCCATGGGACCAAAAATATCTGGTAGATATCACTCCCCTCTATCAGAAACAACTATAAAATCAATTTCGAGAGAAATTTCATAAAGACCCCCCCCTGCCCCCTTAATAAGAAATGTCAAACAGTATATATACAATAAATTAAATCAAGTGATGCAATTGGCAGAGCACAGTCGTAAATCCTGAGCAATAGATATCATCTATCCCTCGTAGCTCTTCTCCTCAGGTATCAGGTTGAAGGAGACATTGGATATAGGGGCAGTCCATGCCTTCTTTGCCTTTCCACGTACACCTCTAACTGCTACTAGCACACTCCTCATTATATCCATGCTCAGGCGTGTCCTGATGTTACACATCACCTGGCTGTAGTCCTCCTTTGTCTTGGTGGCTATCAACACAGCAAGTCTCCTTATGAAACGCTTCTTAACGTCATTAATTTCATCATGTATAAACGGGTTTTTATATTCCACTTGCGCTTGGGCTAATTTTTAACTGTAAAGCATTGAATACGTTAGACTTTGTCATCAAGGATACGCGAAAGGGGAAATTTTCAAGAACTCAGATCTTACAGCAGGGCCCTTCCTCATTAAACCCTTAATCACGATCATTCACCTGAATCGACCGCATCAAACTTAAGTTGAGATTGATCTACTAATTGAGAGTCCTTTCAAGCGAACGCTGCGACTAAACCATTGAAGGGATCACTCAACAATCAAGACAATATTAGGTTGTTTTGTGAGAATCCCTTTTCTGGTCTCAGAAAGGATGACTGTTATGAGATGTAATCCAACTGCCAATCTTCAAACTGAGCCTATTGTGTCAAACTGAGCCTATCTGTCTGACCGAGAATCTGTTCACATGCTGCATATACACGAAGACAATCATTTAATATGGTATACTTTTGTACTATAGATTACAAAACAATAGATGTTTTTGCAGTGCCCCTTATTTAACCCTAAATCATGGACTTCTTGTGACACTCCCTACTGTAGTTGCCACTTGGATCAGAACCAGACTACCTTACTCGGGAATATTATAGCGGGTTAATTTATGACTGGGAAAATTAATGACCGGGAAAAATATGGCGGACTTTCCAAAAACCCGCCAAATTATCCTGGTCATGTATTTACCGGTGGCCGACCTTTCAAGTTTTTTTTTCAGAGGTCAACAAATTTTCAACCGAAATTTCTGTTTTTTTTACTTGTTAAAGAAGTTATTTCAATTTACAGTTATTGATATTACTCAGAAATAGAAAAAAAAGACACGTCTATTTTATAAAGGAAAATAAATCTAAGCAAGTCAAATCTTCATTAAAGCGTATTCTCATTCTCATTATCGCTAATGTCCCCGCCATTATCATTATTGATATCCCCCTGAGCTGCTGACCATCAAATTCGAAGTTGTATTGTTGTCTTAACAAGACTTTCATTTTGTCCGCTAATGGGGCTACTGCTCTGAAGGTCAGCCGGAGCTTAACTTCCTGCCCACCGCTTGGTATTGGGGAACGTCTTGGCTTTGCATCTTCAACTGCTCCAGTAATCAATCCACCGTGGACCATGAAATAGTGGCACAGTTTACTCACTTCTAGCGGGATGTGGCCACAAGTTACTTTAACGGGAAAAACTCCCTCTTTCTTTAGTCTACACTCTACACACTGCACACGAGAAGCGATCAATCTTTAGAGACATTATTATTATAATATATATTATATATTATTATTATTTTCGTTTTCTTCTATAACATATATATAAATTGTTTTCTTCTCTACGATTCACTGATTCATGGGCAAGAGAAGTGAGAATCACGGTCCACCCTGAAATCTGATTTCTATAACCAAATTGTGATTTTTATAACGAAATTATGGTAGCAACCGCCAATAAAGTTACAGCCCTCCATCCACTGCTTCAAAAGTCTTCTCTAGCACATATGAGACTTCAGGTAAAATATGATGATCACCACCCCCTTGGAACCCCATAATCTGAGTCGGCGGGTTTTTTTATGACTGGTAAAATTTTTGACCGGGAAAAATATGGCGGAATCTTCCAAAACCCACCACTTTATCCCGGTTATAATATTCCCGAGTAAGGTATGTAGTATGTACCCTCTGCTTGAGAATTGTTAACCACTATACCATCAAGCCTATGTCCAACGTGTGCAGTATATTGAACACTCGTTAAATGCGAGAGGTGTTTATTTTGAATCTTTAGTGTACTGTATGCAAATCATAGCACTATATTATTGTACGATTGTACAAAAATGCACAAGGACCCTATTAAATTTCGATTCATTACATCTGGAAGAAATAGTTCCTTGCAGCAGTTGTCTGTAGCTGTTGGATTATGTTTGAAAACGTGTCTGAAAGTTGCTAAAAATTATTCTAAATATACAAATAATTTTCATCGGAGGAATGATTTTTATGTATTTTATGTAATTGATAACAACAGTGACGTTCTAGATTTTATGTTTGAAAATAATTTTATTTCAGGAAACAAAGTATTTGCACTTTTGATTTCAGTACTTTATTTACGTCAATCCCCCATAAACAACTTAAACTTTAGAGAGAATCTTACTAAATTTGTAAATAGAATTTTTGATATCAAAGAAAAGAATTTTGTAGTATGTAATGAATATTTAAAGAATGCGTATTTTCTTTTTATAGTGTTGATATTTTCTTATTGATAATGCGTATGTTAAACATAATAATTGTATTTATAGACAAGTTATAGGTATTCCTATGGGTACAAGCTGTGCTCCCCATAAGGCTAATGTTTATTTACACCAATATGAACACGAGTATTTTATAAAGCTGTATGAAGCTAACAAAATTGAATACGTAACGCGGGATTTACGTCTTGGTAGATAAATTATTCAAGCGCTATTTGTCAGAGCGACACAAATGCGCGAGCGCTTGCGCGGCTCACTTATCCAACACTCATGTTTACATCGTATCAGGCAATGGTTCAGTTTAATTATGGTAAGGGCACAGCCTGTCAAAAACCCTTTTCGCATGATTTTAACATTTGGGAAAAATTTGGGATTAATTTAAATTCGGAATATGTATTTTAGCATGACGTGGCATTCTTTTTGTTAGTTCAGTTCGTTTTCAATTTTAATCTTAATTTTAATTTTCAGTAGGTTTTACCTTTAAACAATATAATTTTTTAGCTAGCAGAATGGTTTTCAGAGGGCATTAATGAAATGTACTATGAGCTGGTCCCAAGCCCAGACGCCATTTTATTCTTTGTAATTTTCAATAACCATGTCTAGTCATTGACTACTGATTTACAACAATTCGATACACTGACTGAACTATATTATCAAATAAATATCTACAGCTTTAAACTATGATATAAAGACTCAGAATGGCTGCAACATCAAGGGGCTTTGTAGAGCTATCGGAGGAAAAGCTGACAGAAAAAGGTAAATTAATGAAACACAATGCAATGGAGCAGATAAATTGTTTGTTCATATATCGTATAACTTAATACTAAATGTAATTAAACCATGGCCACATGTGTTATTTCTTATCTCTAACTTAATTGATATAAACATTTAGCAAGAATTTATATCAAACACCAATCACACTCTTCAATTTCAGCCAGGAAGTGGCAGCAACTACAAAGCAAGAAGTATGCAGAGAAGCGAAAGTTTGGGTTTGTTGAAGCTCAAAAGGAGGACATGCCTCCAGAGCATGTTCGTAAGATAATTAGAGATCATGGTGACATGACCAGCAGAAAGTTCAGACATGACAAGCGAGTTTATCTTGGTGCCTTAAAATACATGCCTCATGCTGTCTACAAACTGCTAGAAAACATGCCCATGCCCTGGGAGCAGATCCGTGATGTGAACGTTTTGTACCACATAACTGGAGCCATTACCTTTGTCAATGAGATCCCATGGGTAGTAGAACCTCAGTACATCTCACAGTGGGGAACTATGTGGATCATGATGAGGCGAGAGAAAAGAGACAGGCGCCACTTTAAGAGGATGAGATTCCCTCCCTTTGATGACGAGGAACCTCCTCTAGATTATGCTGACAATGTGTTGGATGTTGAACCTCTGGAGGCTATCCAGATGGAGCTTGAGAGAGAAGAAGATGGAGAGGTTGTTGACTGGTTTTATGAGAATAAAGGGCTTATTGAAACTGACTACATCAATGGTTCAACTTACAAGAAATGGTATTTCGCTCTGCCCATCATGTCAACATTATACCGCCTTGCTAACCAACTCATTACTGACTTGTTGGATGAAAACTTCTTCTATCTGTTTGACATAAAATCCTTCTTCACTGCTAAGGCCCTCAACTTGGCTATCCCTGGAGGTCCTAAATTTGAGCCACTGGTTCGTGATATCAGTCAGGCAGAGGAGGATTGGAACGAGTTCAATGATATCAACAAGATCATCATCAGACATCAGATCAGAACAGAGTACAGGATAGCATTCCCTTACTTGTACAACAGCAGACCTTACAAGGTAGCAGCTATTTCCAATTTCTCATTTAATAAAGTTAAAGTTCTGTCAATTTTACTTTATTTTTATAATAGAAGAAATGTCACTTGTAATTTTTCTTCAATAAAACAAGACTTTTTCCATATTCATCGCCTCACACCAATTATCCCCAACTAGGTCCATCTATCGTGGTACCACTACCCCTCTGTAGTTTACATAAAAACAGAGGACCCAGATCTTCCTGCATTCTACTTTGACCCTCTGATAAATCCCATCGCCCCTAAACACGGGACACTGAGAACAGTGGAGCCGCTACCCAATGATCCAGGAGAAGGTGACGAAGAGGAGGGGGAGGAGGAAGAGGAGTTCGTTCTTCCAGCCTATGTAGCTCCTTTCTTAGAGGTAGGACTAGCAACGCTCACTTCCAATAGTTTCATGTAACGTATTTTTGGGCAGAATGAGTCCTTGAATTTCTTTAAAATCAGTTATTACATAATCAGACAGTTTATGAACATGACAACTCAAATACCTCAGGATACCCCTCTGTACACAGATAACACAGCTAATGGTATTGCCCTACTGTGGGCACCTCACCCTTTCAACTCAAGGAGTGGGCTCACTCGCCGAGCTATTGATGTGCCTCTAGTTAAGAGCTGGTTAGTTGTTTTGCTTTTATTTTCGTTAAATTTAACCTTCATTTGCGGTGTCTGCTCTCACCACGTCGGGAGACAAGATTTAAATTAGAAGTTTAATCCTTTTTTAAATAAGCTATTAAAACCATATCATTGACCACCGCTTGTATTATCAGGTACAGAGAGCACTGCCCTGCAGGACAACCTGTAAAAGTGCGTGTCAGTTACCAGAAACTACTGAAGTGTTACGTTCTAAACGCTCTCAAACATCGACCTCCCAAGAACATGAAGAAGAGATATCTCTTCAAATCTTTCAAAGCAACTAAGTTCTTCCAGTGTACCCAACTTGATTGGGTAGAGGCCGGCTTACAGGTGAGATCTACTTGTTATTATATTATACTACCGTACTGTAAACTTTATTAACATTTTAGAATATTATGAAATTGCCCTGCAACACAGGTACAGCAATGAGAGATTAGGGAATTTATTTATTAAGATGAGTGTAAGGATTTCACTCTGAGCTCTAGCTGTTCAATTAATGCCCTTCGAAATTTAAATCTGTATTTAATTATTGAATCGCGGTATAATTAATATAACAATACTACAATTTATTTGCCATTTCATCAAATTATCAACGAATCTAAGGCCTTAAGGGTTAGGCCGTCGTATCGTGTTTTCACACACACGTTTTCTTTTTTCACAATTATACTAACCCGACAATTATCAGGTGTGCAGACAAGGTTACAACATGTTAAACCTACTCATACACAGAAAGAACCTCAACTACCTTCACTTGGATTACAACTTCAATCTGAAGCCCGTGAAGACGCTCACCACCAAAGAGAGAAAGAAGAGTAGGTTCGGTAACGCCTTCCATCTGTGTCGTGAGATCCTCAGGATGACTAAACTTGTGGTTGACTCCCATGTCCAGTATCGGCTTGGAAATGTGGACGCTTATCAGGTAATTTATTTGTTTCTTGCTTGCTCTTCGCACTTTGAAGTTACATTTAATATTATTACGTAATTATTATTATTCTTTGGCTGATTAGATTTCTATTACAGAAATTAGAAGCGAATATCAAGTATAGAATGAAGTATCAAAAAACCCGAATAACATTTTCAATAACAGAAGAATATTTACATATAATAATATATACCATACAAATGTGCACAATCTATACTGATGCAGAATATATACCATCTTCTAAAAGACAGCAGATACTATCCTAGATATATGTCCTTTGATCAAACTAAATTGCAACTAAATCTTCTGGAATATGTCACACTCATCATGGCCACGGATAGCGATCACCCAAATGAAAAAAGAATCCGGCGTTAGCGTTTAAAGGCCTGTTAATGTGAACTGGTCTATTGGCTTGTTGTTTGATATCAGCTCGTTCAGTAATCTGATGTGGTGTAGTAGCTAGTCTCAGGTTTGTGTTTCCTCTCATCGTCTCCCAAGCAAGGTCCCAGTTAACATTCCTACGTTTTTGCATACTCCTTGAATCTACGTGGACAATAAATAGCGAAAGCACTACGAAAAAAGCAATGAAGCGGAACATCTTGACAAATTCAGACTCGTATTATCAACTGTACGACAAGAATGACTGAACAAAATTTCCGACAGTTTATGATTTTTTAATCCCATGACCGAACTTGTGATAATTTATTTTAAATTAAGGAAACAAAAGGTTCCATTATGTTTCACTTGTAAGGATTCTTTTTGCGGGGCGGAAAACAAAGCGATGGCCTGGAACACATTTTAATTCATAGTGAATGGAAATTTTTGAATTGTAAGGCTTAAATATTTCTGTAAACAAAAATCGCGATGCTATTTGGTGGTCACAATTCTCTCAAAAAGATACTAATTTTGTAGATTCTATTCATCAAATGTTAAGCTAGCATAACCGTTATTTATAAATATAAATAAAATATCCCAAGATTCGTCTAAGATAAATTCAAAATGCACACAGACTGCAGCTACAAATTATTTCTCACGAAAAAGTCACCATTGTTACCAAATTTCTCCTTCATTTCAGCTTGCAGACGGAATCCAGTACGTATTTGCTCACATCGGTCAGCTAACTGGAATGTACCGGTACAAGTACAAACTCATGAGACAGATAAGAATGTGCAAAGATCTCAAGCATCTCATCTACTACAGATTCAATACGGTAAACCTTGTACTAGTCTTATAATTTGATTAGGTTTCAATTCTAGGGCCCTAAAATTAACTGACAAAATTAACTGAAATGATGATACTATGTTTTTATCAGGGTCCAGTTGGAAAGGGTCCAGGATGTGGAATCTGGGCTCCAGGCTGGAGAGTATGGCTCTTCTTCCTGCGTGGTATTGTCCCACTGTTGGAACGATGGCTCGGTAACTTGCTGGCTCGACAGTTCGAGGGACGACACAGCAAGGGGGTCGCTAAAACAGTCACTAAACAGAGAGTTGAGAGTCACTACGATCTGGAACTCAGAGCTGCTGTAAGTCACTAGTTGGGGTCTGCTACACTTTTTAACACTATTTTACACTACACTTTTGCCTTTTTGGTGTATGGTAAACTTCCTGATTCGTCTAATCTTATTAACCTGACCTTAATTTAAAATTGGTATTAAAGCACCATTTGCTTTCTTATTATATGAACGCTTGCTTTATCAAATATCCTAAATGAGACTGTCCAGACTATCACCACTCTACAATACAGGTAATGCACGACATAGTGGATATGATGCCAGAAGGAGTAAGACAGAACAAAGCCAGGACAATCCTACAACATCTTAGTGAGGCGTGGAGATGCTGGAAAGCTAATATCCCCTGGAAAGTTCCAGGTCTCCCCTCCCCAATAGAGAACATGATCCTCAGGTTTGTGACCTAAACAGTAAACATTCGTTCAGTTCACCATGACTCGTGATCAGCAATCTGTATCGTTCAGAAGTTCTTTACTTGTCAAGTACTACTCCGGAGATTATTCTCTTGATTCTTATACCCATCTCTATCTGCAGATACGTGAAGTCTAAAGCGGATTGGTGGACCAACACAGCTCATTACAACAGAGAGCGTATCAAGCGAGGTGCTACAGTTGACAAGACAGTATGTAAGAAGAACCTGGGTAGGCTTACTCGGTTGTACCTGAAGGCTGAGCAAGAAAGACAGCACAACTACTTGAAGGATGGACCGTACATTTCAGCGGAGGAAGCTGTCGCTATCTACACCACCACAGGTAATTCAAGCTTCGAACGGTCACCTAACCTTTCTAATACAAGTTTTTCGAACATGTGTTAATGAGATACAGAGAAAACTTCAACCACAATCTCCAAATTCCAAATATTTTTTTATAACTGTACCATTCAAAACTTAAGTCCAACCCCCTCAGTTCATTGGCTGGAGAGCAGGAGATTCTCGCCCATCCCCTTCCCTCCACTCTCTTACAAACACGACACTAAACTACTGATCCTGGCTCTGGAGCGCCTCAAGGAAGCTTACAGCGTTAAGGCCCGACTCAACCAATCACAGAGAGAAGAGCTTGGTTTGATCGAACAAGCTTACGATAATCCTCACGAGGCCCTGTCCAGGATTAAACGTCATCTTCTCACTCAGAGACATTTCAAAGAGGTAAGCTTGGACAAAATGTGCCTGTCACATATTTTATATTATGTCTGGAAAACGGGGGAAAAAACAATTTGTTGAATATTCCGGACCCTTGAAAATGATAGTTTTCTACCGATCGCGATGCAATATAATCTTTATCTGTGCAGGTTGGAATTGAGTTTATGGATCTGTACTCGCACTTAGTGCCGGTATACGACGTGGAACCGTTAGAGAAGATCACTGACGCGTATCTAGATCAGTATCTCTGGTATGAGGCTGATAAGAGACGTCTCTTCCCTCAGTGGATCAAGCCAGCCGATACTGGTTCGTAGTCCTTTAATTCAATATTCAAGTTCTTAGCACGTTTTTCAAAGGAGAAGAGGCATTTTACAGAAAAGACATTATAATTTCAATATCCAATCCAACTGAAACACTAAACCGGTTCCTCTTTGTCATGGTATGGTCTAGTTTGTATTTATACAAGGTATGTATTGTATGTGTATAACACATTGTGCCCCCGCAGAACCGCCCCCACTCCTGGTGTACAAGTGGTGTCAAGGTATCAACAACCTGCAAGACGTGTGGGAGACCGGTGAGGGAGAATGTAATGTCATGCTGGAAACTCAGTTCGAGAAACTCTACGAGAAGATTGATTTGACTTTGTTGAACAGACTTTTAAGACTGATCGTTGATCATAATATTGCTGATTACATGACTGCCAAGAACAACGTTATCATCAACTACAAGGTATGTATATTTCGATAAATTATCCAAAAAATTACCATTTCTAACGATTAATTTAAAATGATAAGACCTTCCAACCTTCCCCCTCGTGTACTGTTACCATCTTACATTTACACAGAAACCAACACCACACTCCTCCACAGGACATGAACCACAACAACTCCTACGGTACGATCAGAGGGCTACAGTTCGCTAGTTTCATTGTCCAGTACTATGGTCTGGTTATGGACCTCTTACTGCTGGGTCTACATCGTGCTACCCACATGGCCGGACCTCCTCATATGCCTAACGATTTCCTTACTTTTACTGATGTCGCTACAGAGATATCCCACCCGATCAGATTGTACAGCAGATATGTGGACAGAGTTCATATCTTCTTCAGGTAGGATCGGGTGGCTAAAACTGGTGGCTAAAACTGGTGCTTTCGCTAGATAGAAACTGCAATTACAAATTGAGTTTCTCAACATTTCTTTTATGATTATCACTGACCGGTGGTGTGACGGTCGTTCACTCAGTTACACATTGCAATGACTGCTAACTAACTCAATAATTTATCAGGTTCACAGCAGAAGAAACAAGGGATCTGATACAACGCTTCCTAACCGAGCACCCAGACCCCAACAATGAAAATATTGTAGGCTACAACAACAAGAAGTGTTGGCCACGCGACGCGCGCATGCGCCTCATGAAGCACGACGTGAACCTGGGACGTGCAGTGTTCTGGGACATCAAGAACAGACTGCCCCGCTCTGTTACCACTGTAAACTGGACTGGCTCCTTCGTATCAGTGTACAGCAAGGATAACCCTAACCTGCTGTTCAGTATGTCAGGATTTGAGTGTAGGATTCTCCCCAAATGTCGTGTGACTCACGATGAGATAACCAACAGAGACGGAGTTTGGAACTTACAGAATGAAGTGACTAAGGAGAGAACTGCTCAGTGTTTTTTGAGAGTAGACACGGAGTCCATGACTAAGTTCCACAACAGGATCAGGCAAATTCTGATGGCATCTGGTTCTACAACATTCACGAAGATCGTCAACAAATGGAACACAGCACTTATCGGCCTCATGACTTATTTCAGAGAATCAGTTGTAAACACTCAAGAACTTCTAGACTTGCTAGTAAAGTGTGAGAACAAGATTCAAACCAGGATTAAGATCGGACTGAACTCTAAAATGCCCAGTCGATTCCCCCCAGTAGTTTTCTACACACCCAAAGAACTGGGCGGTTTGGGAATGTTGAGTATGGGTCACGTCCTTATTCCTCAGTCTGATTTGAGGTGGTCAAAACAAACAGATGTGGGAATTACACATTTCAGATCTGGTATGAGCCATGACGAAGATCAGCTTATTCCTAACTTGTACAGGTAACTTTCTCCGCTATTATCTCTGATTGTACACAGTACATTGTATGTCAAAGAGTTTTTTCTCCTGAGAAGATACACGTTTTGGGACATGGAGTGTAACAATATCTAAAAACGGTCGCGCGCGAAAGAATATTTTCTTACAAAGGACTATAAACTTAAATAATGGCGCGTTCACGAATGGACATTTTTTACAACTCGTGGAATTGAACACATAACAATGACTCCATATTTTAAATTACAACATGGGTTGAGTATTCCCCCTCATTCAGGTACATCCAGCCGTGGGAAACAGAGTTCATTGATTCCCAGCGAGTTTGGGCAGAGTACGCTCTAAAGAGACAAGAAGCGACAGCACAGAACAGAAGACTAACTCTTGAAGATCTGGAAGATTCGTGGGACCGTGGTATACCAAGAATAAACACGCTCTTCCAAAAAGACAGACACACTCTAGCATATGACAAGGGCTGGAGAGTGAGGACTGATTTCAAACAGTACCAGGTATAGAAATCTTTGAAATTATCTTCTCGTCATCAAATACAGCAAAATAATTTTAATGATCATCTTGGCTTCGAACCTTCTACCTCTTCATCTGTTTAATAACTATCCAGTCAAACCAATCGTCAAGTTTACCGATCTGAGAATCCTTAAAAGCCAGATCGCTTAGACGGTACGGAAATCTACTAGGTATACAGACCAGCCGCAAATTCAGCGACCGGAACTGGACTAGCGATTTTTCATATATTCCTCTCGTACTAGTTGATGTAACCGTCCATATAGCTGGCAGACAATAAGCTATTACTACTTATATCAACACTCAAATGACTGCTTGCTATATATCAAAAGAAAACAATTATGAGTTGCGTGCTCTATATCAATTTAACATATTATTTGTTTTTAACAAAAATAATGAAATAAATCAAATTGAGTTAAATGGTTAAAAGAGAATTATAGAGCCAGGATTTTGAGATAAACTTCTAAAAATCTACAAATATGTGAGCCGAAAAGATAAAAAGATTTGTCCAAATTAAGAACTCAGTGACTCCAAACGTATGCAGATTGACTTTTCAAAAAATATTATCCAGATAACTGCGTCCGAGTTTATGAAAGATGCATTGTTTCCTCCGACTCTGAATTAATCTTGACAGGAATGTAAACTGTTAGAGTGTATTACAGCATCCTGCATCAGGTTTTTCGATCTCCCCCAGGTTTTCGAAAGCTGCATTGCATATCCCTCTCCTGAAATCTACTGAACCTCTGTCATTGAGAGAACCACCAGAATCTGCAGAGCACTGAGCACTAACGCAGTGATGATAGCAGATAGTAGCGGTGCAAAAGCAACCATAGCTGTTCCAACTGCACCACCCATCAAGCCCACCGCAACTCCAACACTGGAACCCAGGGCAAATCTATCCGCTCCGAAGTAATCTATGTTCAGGAGAATGTAACCATAGGCCATACCAGAGATCCCATACAAGAACTTGACGATAAAATTGGTTGTTACAACTAATGCAAGATGATCCTGTGCAAGCATGCCTCCAAAACTCGCCACGTTCAGTATGGCAACTATCACCTGAAATTTGCGATGACTGAATTCCTTCCTCGTGAAGTGCATGAATAACCGTCCGGGGATAGATCCAAAGGTGACAAGAGCCAGTAGCAGGAGTTCCTTTCCTTGAGTCACGGTCACAGAGCAGTCACTGTTTGGTTCGGCTTCCTTGATCTTGAACGCCTGGATTAAAGCGGGTACGAGAAGAATAGTAAGCCAGCCCTGGAACATGATCACAAAGCCAAACAATCCTAGTTTTGTAGTTCTGGCAACAAAATTTGGAACAGTCGCAGTCACCATTTCCTTCTTCTCTGTTTGGTTTTGCTCGTTCACTCTTTGTCCCGTTTTGGGTCCTGATGTCAACGCAGAACTAAAGTGGAGCATAAAAATGGGTGGTATGAAGAAAGGCAATGATGTCAGAAGAATGAATATCCTCCATCCTACCACATCTAACAGCAGGTATCCCAGAATCGCCGACCAGATCCCTCCAACAGTGTACGATATGCACAATGCCATCACCATCTCGTCAAGAACTTTCTTACTAGAAATCAGCTCAGCAATCAAGACGCTATGGACGGATAAATTGAGTCCAACAGAAAACCCGATAAGGGCTCTAGAAAGGAGTAGTGTGGTGTAGTTAGCTACTATAGCACAGACAACTGTGCTGATAGAGCTCAAATAGAGGGAAAACAGAGTCAAAACTCTACACCCAAACCTGCAGAAGATTCAATTTTAGTTTAAGTATTAGTTTGAAGCACTGAAATAGATTTTAACTCTGAAAAAAAGTTGAATAGGTAAATTTTTTGTTTTAATATTTATTCGATTTGTATCTAATGAATTTCTTATGATAGCGCACCTGTGAGCCAATATTCCTGAGATGACAACAGCAACTGCCATGGTGAAGTACTGAATGCAGTCCAGTATTCCTTTCTTCCACGGAGAAAGTTCAATTTCACACGATACTTGTTGTGATATCACTCTTGAATAAAAATGATGCTTTCTAGTTTCTAGTGATCGTTTTTTGGAGTTACATTTTTAAACTTTTAATGAAAGAAATTTGAGTGGTCCATTGAGAGACAAGGAGTCTCTCAAACTATTGAGGCTTCTATGTGTTGACTTATCCAGTTATTGATCTGGGAATTCTTGTATTTTGGACGAACCAGGCAAATAGATTTCCACTCCATCTCCAAAGTTGATGACGACACCAAATACTAGCAGAAGTTTATCTATTCTTGTCCAAGACTCTTCTCGTTTGACTAAAGAGTCGTTTTCATGTCCAGTGTCAGGTTCAATTTCGAATTCAGGATTAGCCATCTTCTCGGAGATACAGAATAAAATATCTGATACAGAAATAATCCTATCAGAAAATCAAAATAATATAAGAAATCAACTTCTTGTCATTCGTAACATGAACATCCATTCCCCTAAATTGAAATGAAACAATGGAGTAATTTTTGAATAAGTATGAGACGTTGTGCGAGGAATAAGTTTAACTCTGTATAGAAAGACGCAGACGAGGAAATTTAAACATTAATGTATGTGGTAGTAAAATGTATGTGATCAGTGGCGTAACGGGCAATCGTCATTTGAATGTGGGACAATTTGGAAAAACTTTACTACAGTACTACCAAAACTGGGCGTTTTGCTCTAGTTCTCTAGAAACACCATTTTTTAGAGATTTTACCAGCGCATCCTCTAAAATAATCTAACTTGTCCAATTTTAGGGAGGGGCGCCAAAAGGGGAGGGGGCGCTTTTTCAGCGGTGGGGGGGGGGGCGCCATATATAATATAATATATTATATAGCACATAATTTGCTATAAATTATTCATATCACTTAAGAATAAAAACAAGTGCAGAAAAGGAGAACATAAACACAGTGGTTCACCAAAATTATTAACTGAAAAACGTTATGTAACACTAACAGAGAACATTTTTCCTCCATTTCTATTTATATTGTTTAGATAATAATGGTTAGTTAGCGAAGATAATAGTGGCTTATTAGAGTTAATTACCTATTTAAATTATCAAACAATTTATATAAGATCTTCCACGTGACTAAAACAAGTGATGTTACTATAATAGACCAAGACGGAGCGATTCTCAAACTACCATATGTCAACGAAACTACTAGTCGCAAATACAGAGATGCTGTCAGACATAGTGGACTCCCCATCAAAATTGTCGAGAAACCTGGACGGAAACTGAAGGATCTCCTTACAGACTCCAGACCCCTTGACAAGAAATCCTGTACAAGATCAAACTGCAGAACATGCGCAGCTTTAACGATGGAGAATGCACCACAACTAATACCGTCTACCACATCACTTGCGAAGTAGACAATTGCACCGAGAACTATGGTGGGGAAACATACAGACCAATCAAGTGCAGGTTCGACGAGCATTACCGTAGTGCGGCAAATCCAGTTCAGCAAAATCTTACGAAGATAAGCCACTAGCAAAGCACTACAGGGAAAGTCACCCTCAGCACAAAGGCCCCCCAAAGCTCAAACTTCAAATCGTAGATAGAGGAACATCACTCATCAACAGAAAGATTAAAGAAGCCCGATTTTTAGTTGAAAATAAACCAACACTCAACGATAAAACAGAGTTGAACAATCTAACACAGTTTTTAGTTGAGTGACGTGTAAATAGTAATATTCTCGTTTAAATTTCACTCCTCTGCTGTCCATTAATTCTTTTATCTCTTTTAATCTTTTATCTCTTGCACACGTCACGCTATTCGTTAATTTTCAGATGAGCCCTATTTGATAAATTTTGTCAGTCTCATGTTCATATTTGCTCTGATTTCGTTAAAAACTATTTTACGGTTGTAGTACAGACAGATCCGTCTGAAAAAATCGATCTGCTGACACTCAAAGCTTTCAGAGGATTTTTGACGTTTTTTAGTCCCATTAGGTGCCCTTTATGACTGACCAACTTTTCCAAACTTTTCCACTTGTCTTAAGGCCACTTTTTGCCACTTTACCACTTTTTACCACCTTTCTTGTTTGTCGAATATCTTTAGTTGTGAACATCGTAAAAGGTTGCGGATCAATCGAGTGTGTTCATATTATCAGGAAGAAAAACTTTTGTTCCAACAATTTTTACGTCAGATAATAAGTTAATTGGATAATTATCAATTAACTAATTAGCAAAATTCTTTAAAAAAATTATTGGCTAAAAATGATTGAAATAGCTTAAAACACGGAGAAAAGTAGTTTTTAGAAAAAATTTTAAAATTTTTCACTTACATTTTTTTTTCGAGACTTGAAAAATTTCGAAAATTAAAAATATTTTTTCCGCCAAAAGTGATCAAATCGCATGAAACACGGAGAAAAATGCCTTTCAAAAAAACTTAGTGAATTTGTCGTTTCAAGAATACTTAAATCGCTAATATTTGTAGTTGGAGTTCAGTAAATCTCGGCAGATTTTAGTAATCAGGAATTACTAAGTGAAGAGGTCTGAAACTGAAAAACGTTAACCATACGATCGCGCGGCGATATAAGAGTTTCATAAACTAATTTTCACAGAAACTGCACCAATGGCACAGTCAAGATCGAAACGATAGCCTGCTGTACTGTCATTTTATTGATTTCAATGATGAATCAGTGGGGTTAAGATAATCACATTTGTAATAAAATCTCTCTCTCTCTCTCTCTCTCTAAATAAATAAAACATCTCTGCCCACACCAGAATGTTAAAAATTTCCTCGCAGATACAAATTTTCTGCTTTTTGTGGCCCGCTCGCTTCGCTCGCGAATTTGTCACTTTCGCAATGTCGGCGAGTGAAGCAGGACCGTTCTTAAGCATTTGGAGCTAGGCCCCAGAAAATGTTTAATGGCCACATTAAAACTTTCAAAATAGTATGTTACAAAATGACTTTCTCCTACAACCCAGTTACAAAATGACCCACAAGTAAAACATGGCCACCTTGCACCATCTGTCTTAGTTATCACAAATTATTATATGTGCCTTGCAGAGTAGAGGCAACTACTAGATTGTTAGTATAGTTTAAGATTAGGGAGCGCAGGCTCGTCAGGAAAAACAATAGCATCAATATTAATAATCTTTAGTGTGTTAGCCAAGGAATAGTGTTAAGATCTAAACAGACTCTTCTTCATGATGCCAGATGCCTACGATCGACACATTGTTGAGTTAGAAAACGGTAAGAGGTACGTGGCTGTTTTTTTCGGTATAGTGCCCACAAAACTCTCTCCTACTCTCTCCTACTCTCTTTCTCTTTCTCTCTCTCTCTCTCTCTCTCTCTCTCTCTCTCTCTCTCTCTCTCTCTCTCTCTCTCTCTCTCTCTCTCTCTCTCTCTCTCTCTCTCTCATACTCAACAGATATGCTGTATCAAGTATTACTATTACTAGTAGATACGTGAGGGGCACTCAGAATTGAAGTATGCTTTGACTGAGTGATTTCATACTTTTGCACCGTTTTAACTACCAAAATAAATGTAATGGGTTTTTAGAATACAATAGGCGGGTTTATACTTTTGCATTTCAACTCCGATAGTGAAGTCCCGGACGTAGGCCTTGGTTACACTAGTATAACATAATCTTGAATATATTATTGCTATCAAACAGCATACTGGAAGCTATATTGGTCAATTATGTGTTGAGTTTGTACAATTTGTATAGCAACTTAGACAAATAAACACCAGCGATTCAAGCTGTAACTTACTCGTTGTTACACGAATTATGAATTAGGGATACACTGGTTCATAGGATTAGAGAAATGACAATTGCTAGTTGGTTTGTGTGTAGATAGAAGGTCTGTGCGGCTTCTAGTGATAATAGAAAATTAGTATAATTATTACGTAAGAATTATTGTAAAAGTTATGTTTATATAGAAACAAGGACAGTAACTTACATATCGAGGCACTCTCCTTGTACCTAGCTATCGAGAATGACTCGGACCGAAAATTTTCTAAATCGATATTATTTTCAAAGTTTTTCTGGAAACTACTTCAAGTTCATGTTTCATGCTACCCTGATCATTATGAGCAGAAAATACTTGTTCGGTCCGTACCTACATTTGGAAGGCTGTGATTGTGATTAGTTCCATATAATTATAAAGAACGTGATATTTGGCCCTCGGATTTAAAGGAGAATGTGAAAATTTGGTCTTCAGAGAACTGGAATAATCAGGATTTGTCGAGAGGATCGGAGAAAATGGCGATTTGTCTCGGAAAAACGTCAGAAATCGCGATTTGTCGCGGAGAATGGGAAAATCGCGATTCTGCACGTGCCGCGATTTCCTTTTGAACTTGTCTTTCATTTGTCAACAATTTTGGATTGGTTTTAGAAAATTCTCTCTACCCCAGAAAATGTATGGTAAAATGTTTCAAAATTCAGATCGTAGACTTTATAAATTTCCTCTTTGGCACCAGAAATTTCCTCCGAAATCGAAAATTTCCTTGCAGATTATCTGCTAGTCTGCTATGGTTTCTGGCAGTGGGCATCTCTGTACCGTCAATTGTGCTAGTCTAAACCAGCCTACCTGTATTACCAGACCTCTTCTTTTCCTCGACAATCAAACCAAGATGCTCATATCGTATTTGGTGGGTGATGTAAGTAGTAATACATATCGAGCTGTATTCAATCACAAAACGACACAATGCAATACGTGTATATTATATTATGGCCCTTAATGAGGTATATGAAACGTTCTATATCGTACACTTCTCGTTTCTCCCGTGAGAGGCCCAGTATGGAGAGGTTTTACAGTTTATCACGAAAACGTCTACACTCTACTTGGCCTCATGGCTCAAAGAAGGCAAGAAAAGACCAGAAAGCTTTCAACTCGCTCTTTTCAATGCCCGTCGATCTGTCCCACATTAATCCTGAGCTGATCATCATAGCCCCGAACATCCTACGGGAAGAACCTGTATTTTTACCTCACGACGTCCGGATTTCAAATCAACACCCTCAATAACATTAACAATCCTTACTGATCAGAATCTGTCTCTATTAGCAATTTCCAAAATATCCTGACTCTCGTGGAATATTTCACTGAATTAATTATTACCGGTTCTTTACTACCCCTTGCCCGTCACTCGTATCTACATCTTACCCTTGCCAGTATGTTACCCTTGCTGATTTTACGTTTAGCCGACCCTGACATATGGGGGTGATTTGAGGTATCCAGCATAGCAAATGAAGCGGTATGCAGAACAATACAAAATAAGTCACAGTTGATGTTGGAAGGTGTATTCACACTTGCTTTCTGGACCTGGCTGTTCCTTAGTTTCCTTGATCTGTTCTTGCCTTCTTCGAATTGTAAATGAGCCATGTAATGAGGCCAAGTATACGTTTTCGTGATAAACTTTAAAACGTCTCTATACCAGGTTTCTCACGGTATAAAGCGTTACATAAACCTCATTAAGAGCCATATAATATACACGTATTGTGTCGTATTCTGATTGAATACAGCTCGTTATGTATAAGTTTCAATACTTTCAACACTACTATATAACAAATAATTTGAATGACAGGATGGATTACCGAGGGCACTGTGTTAAGGTGATTTAAGTGGGTCCCAATCCCCACCGACCATTCTTCTTTGTGTCATGAATACTTGCTTCATCATCTCCTTTTAATAAAAATCACGGTGTCTTTATTGACTAAGCGCATTACTACTTACATCACCCACCAAATGCGATATGAGCAACTTGGTTTGATTGTCGAGGAAAAGAAGAGGTCTGGTAATACAGGTAGGCTGGTTTAGACTAGCACAATTGACGGTACAGAGATGTTTTATTTATATTTTATTACAAATGTGATTATCTTAACCCCACTTTTGGCGGAAAAATATTTTTAATTTTCGAAATTTTTGAAGTCTCGAAAAAAAAATGTAAGTGAAAAATTTTCAAATTTTTTCTAAAAACTACTTATCTCCGTGTTTTAAGCTATTTTGATCATTTTTAGCCAATAAAAATTTTTTAGAATTTTGCTAATTAGTTAATTAACTTAATATCTGACGTAAAAATTGTTCGAACGAAAGTTTTTCTTCCTGATAATATGAACACACTCGATTGATCTGCAACCTTTTACGATGTTCACAACTAAAGATATTCGACAAACAAGAAAGGTGGTAAAAAGTGGTAAAGTGGCAAAAAGTGGCCTTAAGACAAGTGGAAAAGTTTGGAAAAGTTGGTCAGCCATAAAGGGCATCTAATGGGACTAAAAAACCTCAAAAATCCTCTGAAAGCTTTGAGTGTCAGCAGATCGATTTTTTCAGACGGATCTGTCTGTACTATTGATTGATAACTATTTTACAGTTATATATTTTGTTTGAAATAAATTTCGTCGTCAAATTTTTAATGTGAATATTGATCGTTATAATATATATCTTGTCGGAGATACAGAATAAAATATCTGATACAGAAATAATCCTATCAGAAAATCAAAATAATATAAGAAATCAACTTCTTGTCATTCGTAACATGAACATCCATTCCCCTAAATTGAAATGAAACAATGGAGTAATTTTTGAATAAGTATGAGACGTTGTGCGAGGAATAAGTTTAACTCTGTATAGAAAGATGCAGACGAGGAAATTTAAACATTAATGTATGTGGTAGTAAAATGTATGTGATCAGTGGCGTAACGGGCAATCGTCATTTGAATGTGGGACAATTTGGAAAAACTTTACTACAGTACTACCAAAACTGGGCGTTTTGCTCTAGTTCTCTAGAAACACCATTTTTTAGAGATTTTACCAGCGCATCCTCTAAAATCATCTAACTTGTCCAATTTTAGGGAGGGGCGCCAAAAGGGGAGGGGGCGCTTTTTCAGCGGTGGGGGGGGGGGCGCCATATATAATATAATATATTATATAGCACATAATTTATATGTGCTATAAATTATTCATATCACTTAAGAATAAAAACAAGTGCAGAAAAGGAGAACATAAACACAGTGGTTCACCAAAATTATTAACTGAAAAACGTTATGTAACACTAACAGAGGGCATTTTTCCTCCATTTCCATTTATATTGTTTAGATAATAATGGTTAGTTAGCGAAGATAATAGTGGCTTATTAGAGTTAATTACCTATTTAAATTATCAAACAATTTATATAAGATCTTCCACGTGACTAAAACAAGTGATGTTACTATAATAGACCAAGACGGAGCGATTCTCAAACTACCATATGTCAACGAAACTACTAGTCGCAAATACAGAGATGCTGTCAGACATAGTGGACTCCCCATCAAAATTGTCGAGAAACCTGGACGGAAACTGAAGGATCTCCTTACAGACTCCAGACCCCTTGACAAGAAATCCTGTACAAGATCAAACTGCAGAACATGCACAGCTTTAACCGATGGAGAATGCACCACAACTAATACCGTCTACCACATCACTTGCGAAGTAGAGTGTAGACAATTGCACCGAGAACTATGGTGGGGAAACATACAGACCAATCAAGTGCAGGTTCGACGAGCATTACCGTAGTGCGGCAAATCCAGTTCAGCAAAATCTTACGAAGATAAGACACTAGCAAAGCACTACAGGGAAAGTCACCCTCAGCACAAAGGCCCCCCAAAGCTCAAACTTCAAATCGTAGATAGAGGAACATCACTCATCAACAGAAAGATTAAAGAAGCCCGATTTTTAGTTGAAAATAAACCAACACTCAACGATAAAACAGAGTTGAACAATCTAACACAGTTTTTAGTTGAGTGACGTGTAAATAGTAATATTCTCGTTTAAATTTCACTCCTCTGCTGTCCATTAATTCTTTTATCTCTTTTAATCTTTTATCTCTTGCACACGTCACGCTATTCGTTAATTTTCAGATGAGCCCTATTTGATAAATTTTGTCAGTTTTATGTTCATATTTGCTCTGATTTCGTTAAAAACTATTTTACGGTTGATAACTATTTTACAGTTATATATTTTGTTTGAAATAAATTTCGTCGTCAAATTTTTAATGTGAATATTGATCGTTATAATTGAATTGATACTATTTCAGAATATGAGTATGACGTAGAAATGTCGATACGTTATTCAGCTATTTATTTCCATTAGAATCCGTCTTCACTGAGTCTATTCAGAAACAATCAGAAATTTGAATAAAAGAACTATCAAATCATGAGACTCAAAAACACTACACGAATCCACCAGATTATAATAGTTTCCTTTTTCTTCTTTTTTTGAGAGCAAGCTCACAGGCCCAGGAGTGCCAAATGTTTATACAAGGTGCTAGGTTAATTAATCGTCCGAAAGAGAAGTAAAACGTAAATAAGATTAAATAGCACAAAGCTCAGTATCATGAGCTGAAAACTGCTAAGGTCATGAGGAGAAAATAAGTGTTGAGATAAAAACTGTCTGAAATGAACAAGAATTAAGTGTACTGTAGTGCGACACGTACCCTTGTGCGACACGTACCGTAGTGCGACAGAGAATTTTCAAGGCCGACAATGTCGCACTACAGTACGCTACCTGGACTGTAGTGCGACACGAACTAAAGTGCGACAAAAATTTTCACATTCAATAAAAATTTGACATTGCAATACAATGGTGGTGCTAAAGGTACCATCGATGACAAGATGAGGGGCCTCAGCTAAACGATCCATGTTGTCCACAGTGCCGAACAGGAAAGATCTTCTTCTCTCTGCTGAGTAGGTAGAATCCTACAGAAGAAGGAAGGTTTCAACATTGTTTGTTCTGATGTAGTCAGGAGTTAGGACAAGATCAGCCAAAGAGCGGGGAGCAACAGGATGCCTCATGGCCTTCGTCCGAGCAGTGAATCAGGAATGATCAAGACTGTCCAAGGGTGGGCTCTAACAGTGAACTGTTGCTAGAAGGTGTGCTAAAGGATGCATAAACTAAATAATAACACACGCAAACGAAAAGGAATAGTAGGAGAGACGAAATAAACGTGATACGACACGGTATAGTGAAAGAATGAGTGTCTCTTTAATCTTTATAAATACCTAAGCTATAGTAACATAACTTGTTTTAGTCACTTGGAAGATCGAGAAAGGTAGAGCGGAAATAATAAAGGTTATTTACCTATTGAAATCCTCAAACAATTTAAATAGAAATGGAAGAAAAATTTTCTCTTCTCTTTGGAGCAGAAAATTTAAAACAAACGCGGTTCTCTGTTCTCCCATCTCCTGTATAATTGCATGAGAGGGATCGAACCGCGGAGGAAACGTATTTAATAGCATAACTTCTTTATAAGACCCTTTTTAAGCCTGTGACCAACATTCATATCTGCAGGTGCTGAAACAGAACCCTTTCTGGTGGACACATCAGCGTCACGATGGTAAGCTGTGGAACTTGAACAACTACAGAACTGATATGATACAGGCGCTGGGTGGCGTGGAAGGTATTCTGGAACACACGCTTTTCAAGGTAACACTCTTTTACTTAAAATAGGGTATATTCCTGGTTTACGAATCTTTGATGAGCCAAGTTCGTTATCACGTCAGGACTGATAATTTTTCATTGGATAACTCGGAATGCGATAAATAACCCTTTATCTAGAACTGTAGAATTTACATAATATGATCCTTGTACCTGAAACGAACTATTTTAAATTAAACAATCTCACCAATTGTCCTACCTCTCCAGGGCACATACTTCCCTACCTGGGAGGGCCTGTTCTGGGAGAAAGCGTCCGGATTCGAAGAGAGTATGAAGTACAAGAAGCTGACTAACGCTCAGAGATCAGGTCTTAACCAGATCCCCAACAGAAGGTTCACCCTGTGGTGGTCTCCCACTATTAATCGTGCTAACGTTTACGTCGGTAAGTTCCAGCCTAATATCAGGGGAGTTGTTGACCGGACATGATCTGTTTACCGTTCTCTTATTAGTAAAAAATTGCCCCCCCCCCCCCCCCCCCTGATAAGAAAATTTTCCCGCTTTTGATTTTACGTCGTTTCTTCTTCGGTTCTGAGACGAGATTTTGATGGCACCCTCATTCAGGTTTCCAAGTGCAGCTGGATCTGACTGGTATTTTCATGCACGGCAAGATCCCTACCCTCAAGATCTCCCTCATCCAGATCTTTAGAGCTCATCTGTGGCAGAAGATTCACGAGTCAGTTGTCATGGATCTCTGTCAGGTAGGTTCATGGTCAATTATATTGTGGCCTGACGGTAGCTTGGGTCATGGACATAATCGATACCAAACTGTTTGTGTTCAAATATTTTATATTTGTCTGAGATTCTGACTAACGAGTAATACGTCCAGGTGTTTGATCAAGAGTTAGACGCGCTGGAGATAGAAACAGTGCAGAAAGAGACCATCCATCCTCGTAAGAGTTATAAGATGAACAGCTCATGTGCGGATATCCTGATGTTTGCGAGCTACAAATGGCCTATCAGCAAACCATCCCTCCTGGCTGACACTAAGGATGTTATGGACAATGCAACTACTCAGAAATATTGGGTCGACGTTCAGCTCAGGTTTCAAAGATTCCTTGGCTATATTTTTTTCAAACATTTTCAGATTGAGGATAAGTTAGACTGAGATTACATTTTTAAATTTATTAGCCCCACTTCGTTGCTAGTGCCTTCTCATTACAATGAAATGTTCCCTCAGGTGGGGAGACTACGACTCCCATGATGTAGAGCGGTACACTCGTGCTAAGTTCCTGGACTACACTACTGACAATATGAGTATCTACCCCTCTCCCACCGGCCTTCTCATCGGCATGGACCTGGCTTATAACCTGTTCAGTGCCTTCGGTAACTGGTTCCCTGGCATCAAGCCTCTCATTCAGCAGGCTATGACCAAGATCATGAAGGCAAACCCTGCGTTGTATGTGCTGAGAGAGAGGGTGAGGAAGGGACTGCAGCTATACTCTAGGTATTTATAACTTTCTACTTTTTATTATAATTATTGTTAATAATAATCAATTAGTTAACTTGCATATTCTTGACATAGTTTTCAGCACTGCATGATCGACATTGTATAGAATTCCAATTTAATACCTGATACAAACGAAGTTGATTAACACTTCTTCTCAGTGAGCCTACCGAGCCTTACCTGTCCTCTCAAAACTACGGAGAGCTATTCAGTAACCAGATCATCTGGTTTGTAGACGACACCAACGTCTACCGAGTAACCATCCACAAAACATTCGAGGGTAACCTGACCACCAAACCCATTAACGGTGCCATCTTCATCTTCAACCCTCGAACTGGTCAACTCTTCCTCAAGATTATCCATACCATCGTGTGGGCCGGACAGAAACGTCTGGGACAGCTGGCTAAGTGGAAGACAGCTGAGGAGGTGGCGGCTTTGATCAGGTCCCTGCCCGTAGAGGAACAGCCCAAACAGATCATTGTTACCAGGAAGGGCATGTTGGATCCTCTCGAGGTCCATCTCTTGGATTTCCCGAATATTGTGATCAAGGGCAGTGAGTTGCAGTTACCGTTCCAGGCATGTCTCAAGGTGGAGAAGTTTGGAGATCTCATTCTCAAGGCTACTGAACCTCAGATGGTGCTTTTCAATTTGTATGATGACTGGTTGAAAACTATCTCATCTTACACCGCCTTCTCAAGGTACAAACTTACCAGTTACCACCATGTTTACTTTCAGTTTTGATAAAAAACATATTACTTCGCCCAGCAAAACGACACGTCTCTGACTCTCTTGATAAGTTGATAGAGCAAAATTTTGGACAACATCGATATTTAAACTTTTTCATTTCAGGCTCATTCTGATACTTCGAGCACTACACGTGAACAACGACCGAACAAAGATCCTGCTCAAGCCGGACAAGACTACAATCACAGAGGCCCATCACATCTGGCCTTCCCTCAATGATGAGGAATGGATTAAGGTTGAGGTGTCCCTCAAGGACCTGATCCTCGCTGATTACGGAAAGAAGAACAACGTTAACGTAGCTAGTCTGACTCAATCAGAGGTTAATGAGTTTTTAATAATTTGTTCAGAATTTTTACCGGAGTAACCTTAACTCTAAGCGTGGGTTTATCAATCTTAAAATATACAGTTCACATTTAGGGGTCGTTCACATATTACGTAATCAATATTTTAGCAATTTTTACCCTCCCCCTTCCGTAATCAACCGTAATCAAGACTTAAAGAACAATAGACTTCCATAGACCAAACCCTATTCAAGATCAATCCCCCTAAGTCTGTTAAATTACGTTAGTAGTATTACAAATAATTTAACGGTTAAACAACAAACAGGTGCGTGATATAATCCTTGGTATGGAGATCAGTGCACCGTCTCAACAGAGACAGCAGATAGCAGAGATCGAGAAGCAGACCAAGGAACAGAGTCAGCTGACTGCTACCACCACTAAAACCACTAATATCCACGGGGACGAGATCATCGTCACTACCACTAGGTGGGTTGAGACTGGGAGTGTTATTTATTGATGTTAAATTCCTTTCAGCCTCTTACGCAGGGGGAATATTTATAGGTAACCCCAGTGTTTTTTTTTGGGCTAATTATCAGACCAATTTAAATATTACTATGTACATTCAAATTCTAATTAATTGATCCCATTTTTTGATAACCCTTCCTATCCACAGTAACTACGAGCGTCAAACGTTCTCTTCGAAGACAGAATGGAGAGTCCGAGCCATCTCAGCCACAAACCTTCACCTCCGAACAAACCATATCTACGTCTCCTCTGATGATATCAAGGAAACGGGATACACTTACATCCTGCCGAAGAATATCCTGAAACGCTTCATCACCATCTCTGATCTTAGGACTCAGGTGTGTTTTACTAAAAAAACGAGAAATTTGGGAACGCGACCCAATCTGTGTTTAACCATTGCCGTAACAGATATTGACACAAATTTCCATAGGCCAATATTCAAAATATCATGAAACATTGTATATAATTTGTATATCCCTTCAGATAAGTGGATATTTGTATGGAGTATCTCCGCCCGACAACCCCCAAGTAAAAGAGATCAGATGTGTGGTCCTGGTCCCACAATGGGGCACCCACCAGAACGTCCACCTGCCCCACATGCTGCCCAACCACGACTACCTGAAGGAGATGGAACCACTAGGATGGGTACACACGCAGCCTAACGAGCTGCCCCAGCTAGCTCCACAAGATGTGACCATGCATGCTAAGATTATGGGAGAGAACATGAGTTGGGACGGTGAGAAGACCATCATCATCACTTGCAGGTAATGTCCGGGTCATGTCCGGATAATACAATGTTCCTATATAATAGCTATCTTCTAACTGAATTCATTTACTTTTTTAAACTGGCTTTTGGTTTACTTTTAGTTGGATTCGGTAAAGAATCTAACAGTGTCTGTCCCAGTGTCTGTTGTAAAGCGACCTTTTCTGTTTGTTTGCTGAATTTTAATTCTATCAATCTTGTTTAATTAACAAAGTGTAACAATCGCCATTCAAATTCAAGCTGTCAAAATCGATTATTACAAACACACTTAACTTTCGTAACACAGGTTTGCTTTCTTGATTAAAAGAATTACAACTAGCAGTAAAATAAAATTTCAAACTTGGGTCAGAACCTTCATTATCATACGTGCACACAGGGGGGGGGGGGGGGCAATGACTACTTTTGGGGACTTGGGGAATTACGTCAACGATTTTACCCCGAGTCCCCATGATTTTTAGTCCCCAAAAGTCTCCATTAGTCCCCATTTAGATGATTTTTAGTCCCCATTAGTCCCCAAAAGTCTCCATTTAACCCCATTTAGATTTATCCTACTCTTATCTTGGACAAAACATCTCGATCGTATCGTTATCTTACTATATATAAAGCGAGACGATATATATGGATGGATCCGTGCCATTTTACTGACACCACGGCATCAACTTTAACGCGACTTTCCGCAAAAACCGTAAAAGATATACAACTGAAACTTTTTTGACTGGGTCAAATGCCTTTATGGCCTTCAAATCAGCATAAAAAAATAAAATATTGGCCAAGGAATAAGAATTTTAGTACCCAAAATTTGGACCCCCAAGTGGTGTCAAAAACGCGAATTAAATAGATATTAATTATTTTAGTCTCTTGAGTCTTGACACCACTTTAGGGTTAGACGGGTTCCTGCTAGTTAAACTAACTTGAAAACCATAAATAACTGTCAAAAATTCTGGGGACTTATGGGGACAAATGGTGAATTACGTCAACGAGTTGACCACTAGTCCCCATGATTTTTAGTCCCCATTAGTCCCCAAAAGTCTCCATTGGTAGTCATTGGCCCCCCCCCCCCCCCCCCCCCGCACACACTCATCATGTCTTATACTTCAACTAATGTTCTTAAAAGATCATCTCGGCGATCATTCCTCGCATGAAACTCCTCCCAGGTGATGAAGTCTGGTCCTCACACTTCCACTTCTGCTCTACTTCTTGTTTTTCTTTTGCTTCCTCTCTTGGCTGAGATCTCGCTGTTTTCGTATGTCAGTGTACGTTCTGGGGTCATCATTTCATATATCTCGAAATTGCTGTAGATCTCTTCGATGACCACCGTATTCTCTGCATAATCTTCGTCTGGGGTCACCGTGATGTTGTCTGTTTGTCCAACTTCCCCTTCTCTTCTACTTTCTGTTTCACTTTCTCTTCTACTTTCACTTTCCCTGACTGCGTTGTTCATAACCACAACTCGTACCGTCGTGCTTTTTCTGATCATTAATATGACATTTAGTGTAAGTAGTGCTACTGACGAGACACCTAACACGATCGTCAATACGTAATACAGCCCTGGAAATTACTGTGTTTAAATAATATAATCTTGGTTATCATTATCAAATATGTGACATCTTCTGTTCAACAGGCAAGTAAAAAGGGCTTTTACAAGCTGGAATGATCATGTGCTTACTTGGGTTTCTTTAAGTATGAAATGTGAAATCTTCAAACTTAAACTTACCATTTCCAATCGTCGACATTTGCTGGACTTTAGTTCCGTTTCGCACTGAGCCACATGTTTCCTCCGGGGAGCAGGGGACACAAAACTTCCCCTCCTCCATGAAACTCCCTTCCTTACACCTCGCTAGAACTGATCGTCGGAGCAGAGTTCCGTTGTCAGTGACCTTACAATACACGGTGTCCTGTGACTGGTCCTCCGTGATGGTCACGTGGAACACACGTGAGGGTGGTCTGTCTGTTGGATAGCCTGCGGAGGTGTCTGAATTGCTTGCGGAGGAGGAGGAGGTGATGTTCCCTGTAGAGCACGTCAATTCTAATTGCTGGATCAGATATCCATCTACTCTCCAAGTAAATGTTGCAGGGAGAGTCTTGTAGTGTCTTGTTTCCGGAGAGGTGATCTTTAGCATCTTTGAAGTGGAGATGTAGATGTGTTTAGAAGTTATTTTGTGTGGAGTTATCGAGTTAGCTGCGTGACATGTGTACAGACCAAGGTAATCAAGGTGCATTCCGGGTAACACCAATGTCAGATGAAGTTCATGATCGGATTTTGATTCGTCCAGCACTCTTTTAAGTTCCATCAACTCACCCGTCGCCACTTCAGCTCCATTCTTTGTCCAGTATCCAGATAGGAATGGCGGGCCTGTTATCTTACATGCCAGGGTTACAGTAGTGCCTACAACATACGGTTGGGGAGTGGCAGTCAACTCAATTGTAGGATCTTTAGGTTTGCAGAGTGAGATGTACTCGTACGAAGTATTTCTTAGCATTCCTGCCTGTATAGTGTTGAAATGGAGCATGTCTGCGTTGTAGCTGTAATTATGGAGGATTGTTCTGGAATTTGGTGCCAAAATGTTAAACGCATCGGTTTCCCTATCATGATAGATTTGGACTTGCATGAAGGTTTTGACACTTTGGGCAAGATGAAGCTCTCTTATGTATATACCGGATGTTCCGAGCGACCCATTTTTGTTCAGATAGAAGTTCCACTTTTCGTTGCTGATGTTCTGATTGAAGAGGTAGAACAGATATCCATTGTTCATGTCAAAGGTGCTCCACTTGACAGTTAATGTATCAGAGATGTTAAAACCCTTAGGATACTCCATAACTTGTGAGGTCTTGATGTTTTTCCCCAAAAGTGTGCACGTCCGGTTTTGGGAACTTCTACTGACAGAGATAACAGGATGGAACCCTGAGGACCATATTATATATATGTAGGGCAACAAAAACAATCATCAGACAATCGCTGGTCTTGGAAGTGATTTTGCTGAAGTGATATCATCTTTTGGGTGAAAATAGCACAGCCTAATGACGTTGATAGAGGAGGAACTGAATGTATTCCTTCCTCCTTCAGTACAGGATAATTTTATCAAATTGCCCGCTGAGTAAATTTCCAATCTCTGTAATCTCTCAATGAATTATAGTTTAAATATTAATTACAATTTCTGCTCCTGATGGGCGGCATTAGAATATTCTGTGGAAGCTTTTAAAAGTTTGAATATATTGGAAGTTGCAATTTAGTTACTGCTGTTGCTTAGCCTATAATTGAATGATGTGGCCCCACTATAAATTTCATAATTTTACACCACGTGTCATGACGTCACACCACGTGTCATGACGTCACAACTCACAATCACATCTTTCTCCTCCCCAGTTTCACACCGGGTTCCTGCTCCCTGACCGCCTACAAGTTGACGCCGACAGGATACGACTGGGGTCGCCAGAACAAAGATACCTCTAACAACCCTCATGGTTACCTACCTTCCCACTACGAGAAAGTTCAGATGTTGCTATCTGATCGCTTCCTTGGCTTCTTCATGGTACCGGCAGAAAGTTCATGGAACTACAACTTCATGGGTAAGAATTTGTTTGGGATAGCGATTCTTTAAAGTAGATTATTTAATTCACTTTATTTTATCTTCAAATAACTCATTTGCCTATAATTTGAAATTATGGGGAGAATTGTGATGATATTCGACGCTATTTTTAAAGCCATATTTGATTCTTGCTTAAAAATATAAAATTGGATTTCCATAAAATTTGGCTAATCAAGAAGACAAAATCTAACTTTTTGTCTCGACAGGTGTTAGACACGCTAGTTCTATGAAGTACGACCTGGAATTAGCAACACCCAAAGAGTTCTACCACGAACTGCACAGGCCCGCTCACTTCCTCAACTTCTCCAGCATGGAAACTGTTGACGCAGACTTTGAGGACAAATTCGCTTAATTTATTATAACATGCATTCGGTTAATTAAGGTATTGACTTTTGCACTTGCGATCAGAAATTGATTGTCAGATCATTGCATTTGAGGGGATGAATGCGTCGCTAAATGTTGATTATTTTTAAACGGTGCTGCGCATCTTGATTCAAAAAAGAAACTGTGCTTCTCTAGCGATACAATATATGAAAATGACCCGAAATGACCGGCACTTTTGCCTCTCTCAGAACCACGAGCATTTTATGTTTTAATACTACTTGTATCTTTATTCTTTATTTTATCTAACAATTAGTTAAGCTTTGTTTCTATTTGACTTGGAACCGTACACTGTAACAGGTGAGCAATATTCGCTGAAGTAATTGTTATTTTACCATCCGGCTGAAGTGATTGACAGGACGCTGGGACTGTCTGATCTTTTAGCCAACGATCTGTCATTCTCCTCACTCACGAGCCATACGGGATTAGCAAGGGACATTCAGAATTTCAAAAAACAATTGCAATCACCATAAAGTTGTAGGTTTAAACAGCCTCATGTCGGAAATTTCGTGTACAGCTGTGATTGTATCGGGGGGAGGACAAATAAAAGGCAGAAAGGAGAAATCTAGCGTGCTGCGTGGACTACTGCACACTGGTCCACACAGCGTATGTCAACTGCTCGCTCCTCCCACGGATGATGATATGCAATAAGCTAGAAAAGAGCGCCGCGCATAAGGATAGGCGCGCTTGGTAAATGTTCAATGTTACCTAGCTTCCTAATAATATTTCCTAGTCTATTTGCTATTGCTCTCACCAATTCGAAAAGTGAAATTATAGCATTTGGATTGCAGATTGGCGTGCCAGGCAAGGTAGGTGCTTGCTACACGTTGCATACCTCTCGTGCGCGCGATCAAAAGGGGTTGCAGCGTGTGTCCAGTAAGTGCCGTGTATTGTGTATATGTCATTGATGTGCACTGCATGCACAAAGTTGCAGCAGCGATGCAGCTATAATCATACGAAATCATTTTACACCGAGCTGCAAATTAAAATTTAACACGTTCCCCAAACAGATTGCTCTAACCAGAGCCCTTTCGCTTGCAGTAGCGCGCGACCGCCGTGAAACAAGCGCGTCACGCAGTACGCGTAGGCACATGGCTATATAGCCACATATATGTGAACCAAACAGATGAAATTGAAATTGCACATGTTCATGTTACAGGACTTTGACGCGCCGCGCGAACTATCAATTGCATTTTTGCTTCGTATCGAAGATCTAACAAGATCGTAATGTTTTGCTTAGCAGAGCAACGATCTAGAAGGGCCAGGGATGACATTTTCTGCAAGCAAAATTGTATACTTAAAACTTAACTGAAACAAAAAGCCACCATTTGATTTACGATGTTGGATGTCAATCCTTCGCTTACGTATGGGCCGCGCTCAGCCTGTCATTCCGCCTAATCTCTATTCTGTTGTTTAACAACATTAAAGCCTGGGTGCTGGGGTCCTCAGGTAATCCTTCGCATGAGCTCGGTGAGGCCCAGTGGTGCATTTTGCCGATTTGTCGAAAAAGATCAGTTGCGAGAAAATTTATTAAATGCGCGGCGTGGCCCAATTTAAGTCGCGTTTTTGACACCACTTTTGGGGCACTAAAATTCTCGTTCCTGTGCCTATTTTGTTAAAATGCTGATTTAAAGGCCATTTAAAGCATTTGAACTAGTGAAGTGGCGTAACGTAGGGCCCCGCTGACCTTACCTGGGGGCCTCAGGCTATCATGTTCATAAACATGAAACAACAACGAATAGAGATTAGGCGAATGATTGGTTTAGCGCGGCCTTGCTCTAACCAGAGCCCTCTCGTTTGCAGTAGCGCGCGACCGCTATCTACTTGTGAAACAAGCGCGTCACGCAGTACGCGTAGACACATGGCTATGTGAAAGCGCGGCCCAGTAACGCTGACCCCGCTGAGCTGTGCAAAACTGCTAGTTTTGCTCTAGAAGCACACTTTTTTAGAGATTTTAGCGGCGTATCCTCTAAAATCACATAATCACCTACATATATATTATATAGATCGTCTCGCTTTATATATATAGTAAGATTAAATACAGGTTTGCAATATGATTGACGGATGTTACTCGTCTAAATTTCTTCGAAGTAGCGCGCGCCGCTTTCTTCTCGAATGGCAAGTGCTACGAAGTAGCGCGCGCCGGGCCAGATCATTAATAATGGTCAACAATATGATATGTTTGACAAAAGTTATACAAGTTTAATGAAAATGCCATAAGAAGGTGAGTTTGTTTGTGTGGGACGTGTGATGAGATAATGTTATAAATTAAAAGGAAATAGTGAATAGAAGAAATGTAGAGCATAGAGATTAAGCTAAATTATTCTGTTCACTATGCAGTAAACTTTTCCATAGGTGAAAAAAAGGGGGTACCCCCAACCCATGTAGCTGAGACTCCTCACCAGTGGCGTAACAAAGGGCCCCGCTGTGCAGGGGGGGGGCGCCGTCTTAAGGGGGCGCCAAATAGTCGTTTGAATGTGGGACAATTTCGAAAACGTAACTAAAGTACTAGCAAAACTGTGCGTTTTGCTCTAGATACACACTTTTTTATATATTTTACCGGTGTATCCTCTAAAATCATCTAATTTGTTCAACTTAAGGGAGGGGCACCAAAAGGGGAGGGGCGCCAACAGGGGGCGCCTTTTCGGCAGGGGGGGGGGGGGGGGGGGGGGGGGGGCGCCAACAGGCAACGTTACGCCACTGTCCCTCACAGCCTAGTAGACCAAAGTGGCTCTTGTTTGTGAAAAGTGTATCAACTACCCACCGAAGCGGGTAGGTGCATTATGACTTCTGATTTAAAAAGACTACTTGACACCATCAATGTCTCACCTGTAAAATGAGTCCATTCCAAAGTAAATGGGTCCTGTAGAAAAATGATTTTGACAGTGGACTTTTTGAGGTACTGATGAAGCATAAATTCTGACTTGGGTAAAATTGATGAAACAATAGACAAACTGTCGAGGTAGCACCGTCTTAGTCGAGAAATGCCCTGGCAGTAATACTGATAAAAGTGAGGCAATGACACAGGAATATCAGGGAATCAGGGGTATCAATTAATCGCAAAAAAGAACAAAATCGCCCATATCTCTAAAACTTAAGGTCAAAATGCGATTCTACGTTGATTCTGAAAATTTCATGTAAAAATATTGAAACCCTATTGAGTTCTATTGTTTTGAACGAAATCAGTTTCGCAAATATCACGAACTGAGATATGGGCGATTTTGTTCTTTTTTTGCGATTAATTGAACACAGAGTCCACAGTTAGGTAGATACTGAGCTGATAATCAAAGAGAATGTGTAGTATAGACTTACCTTCCATATAAAGTTGGTTTCATTCAAAAATATTGATATTTGACCAATTTATGGGCCAAAATCGACCAAACTTGGTGCGTATGCCCAAATATGGGCATATGGTTTTTGGCTCATAACTCAGTCATTTTTGTCCAATCTTGATGAAAATTCATGTACAAATTCAGGGGACCACTAGCTACAAGTAGAGCACCTAAAGTCTGGGTTTTGGGCATGTTCAGGGTATTTGGCTAAATTGGGCCTAATTTGGACCAAATATGGGCGTGGCTGCCCCGCAGGCACCGTTTGGCGGTTGAGGTCCAGGACCCCCTCAAAAGTTCGGTCACGGGTCCTAGTTTGTTGGTCAACTGCTATCTCGAAACCAAGTTTCACAATTAATTATATTAAGATAAATAAATTGCTTGACAACTTTTTTCATTTTAAAATTTTGAATCTGTTTCGTGTCCTCTTTTCAGTTTATATTCTATATACTTAAAGACGTTTGCTAACACAAATATAAGCAATTCAATGTTGATTTGCCAAAATGTTCATATACTTTAACCAGAAATTATTGATATTCTTGTGATGACTTTCACTTCGATAGATACAACTTGAATGGGTCTAATAGACAGAGCAAACGACTTGCTTGCTCGGTGGGAGAAAGAAAACAGAACGCTTCCTCTGCCTGATGATTATCCTAACAATGTACTCATGTGCATTGCAGGTACATAACACTAAAAATTGCACTCATTATTGTAGTTGCAAGACAGATTAATTACTCTGCAAGCAAGATCGATGGAGCCCAACCATCACCATTAGTCCCAATGTGGTGCTAGCTTATCATTTATTGTAGGTGTATTCATTCAAGGTTTCTGCCTATATTATTGAATGTTGCACTATCTGTAATACCTTTTATTGCAGATGTTATAGATGAAGCAAAGGATGAAGTTCAGAAGCTAGGATTGGACCCTTATGACGACTTCAAAGATATCACTGAAAATGTTGAAAGTGATCTTATAAAATGCATCCTAGATAATGAAGAATTTCTTGAAACAGTAAGATTTTGTTCATACATTTTCATCATATTCTACGGCTATGTGCTGACGTTTTTAATAGCAGATTATAGGATAAATGAAAAAACTTGGGCAGCAATCGGGAAATGTGCTATCAAATCTATTTTGAAAAACCGACCAGATTTCAAGCTAGTCAAATTGATAACTTTAGGACACATTGACTAGTAGAGACTAGACAGTAGTCAATGTGTCCTAAAGTTATCAATTTTGTTATGGTCAGAAATTATTATATGTAAGTTTCCTTCCGAAAATTACACTGTCTGAGTTGAGCATCTTTTAAAATTATTTACTATTTACATGTTTTCTAACATTTTCCTCTACAGTTGACTTCCACCTATCTAACTGGATCTCGCTATGCTAATGACGAGAAAGTGAAGATCTTGGCCGCTAGGATCATGTCCTCTGCTATGAACGGGATTAATGCTAATGCTTACTTCAAAGAAGTTGTAAGTTACAAATTATAAGCACACAGCATAGTTAGTATTATTTTATGTAATGTATTTAATTTCATCACATAATTTTGTAAATAGGTTGTTCTGCCAAAGTTTGAGTCTTTGGCAACTACTTCCAATCAATTTGATTAATTCAGGTAGGTAGGAAAATCATAGACGACTTTGCTCCCAAGAATTGATTTTGTTTTTTTAGTTAAACCAGTGGTATAGGTACCCACCGGTTTGAGGTTTTGGCAGGCAGACCGGAAACGGCCGGATCTTAATCTTTCTTCTGGTTTTGCCGGATTTTGCCTGGACCAAAACCGGGTGTTACAGGAAGATTAGATGAAATTTAAGGCTGCCGGAAAATATAAATTATGAATCCTTATTTTTGGGCTTTAATCAACCATAATTTACTTAAAAGGGGTCAATCAAAAAACAGTGCAGGTAATCCGTGAATCTGAGCCAGCTTAGGGTTTGCAATCGATAATATCGGCGATAAAATTATAGGCGATAATTCGTAGTAAAATCGTTATCGGTTATCGGCGATAATTTCTGACCGATAAACCGATAATTTCAGAAATTTCTTTTCAAAAATAATTTCGGAATTTTCGAGACTTTACAGCTAACTCGCAGATTCTTACCTCTCATTTTCACTAGATTGATCATAAGATATGTGTGAAACTGATCAAAACATCTGAATTTGCTACTTAAGTACTTAAATCAGCAAGATTTGCAATGTTATCTTATCACTGTTGATTGGTGAAACAAGGTATGTACTATGTAAAAGTATTCATATTTCATGGGATAGTTGCATATTTGAATTCAACGGAATTAAAGTTTAAACGGTAAATCTGTAATAAGTATCCCGTAGTTTCGCCCCACCCTATTACAGATAAGCTGTTCACTTCAAACTATCAATTCAGTTACAACCGTATAAGGTAATAATTTGAACCCGACACAGTACACAGTACACACCATAACAACACAATACACTCCTGCACAGTCCACACTCCACGCCCCTCCCCTGAGAAATGCCGATGATTAACTTGCCGATGATTAACTTGCCTGGGTCGCTCATTTGCTTAAATCGCTGATTGATTACGTTACACGTATCAGTTGTTATCTGTTTTCTGTTGTGTCTCGGAAAACTAGTTAATCTTGATATGTCAACCAACGAGATCTGGAAACATTTCACAAAAGAGGGGGACAACGTGGCCTGCATGCAATGTGACAAGTCTTTTCTCAGCACAACAGCCAAAAGGTCTTACACTAATCTTTGGTACCACTTGAGAGTTAAACACGGTATAGAAAATGCAGCTGCTAATAATGATAAATCTTCGGCATCCCCCAAAGTCAAGCGACCAAAAAATCAGTCCCCAATAGTATCTTACATCGAAAAGAAAACTCAAGCCGAAATGTATAGCCGTTTAGCGGCTGTGGAGTTCCACTTTGTGTAAGATTGTTATTGTCACTGACTGTTCACTGTAAAGTATATCGGATCTTCACTTTCAATTAATTGACTATTTTGAAATTACGCGTTTACAATTTGTGTACGATATCTCGGGAATTCATGACCCTCAATCACGGAAGTTATAAATCATGAACGTATGATTAGTTAAGCCACTGAATCGATGGAAAATAAGCTAATTGTTCTGACCAAATTTTATCGCCGATAATTATCGTTATCGCCGATAATTGAAAAATTATTATCGGTTATCGGCGATAAAAAATTGTGGACCGATAATGCAAACCCTAAGCCAGCTGTGAGTAATGAGTATTGACTTGATTCATAATTTTGGATCAATAATTCTTCGAAATATTGGCTAACGTAGATGACTTCGAAACTGATTGTTTTGCTGATGTTTCTTCTTCGAAACTCTGCTATCAGACTCACCTAAATGTCATTGTGAATAATTATTGACCTTTTTTATACTAATTCCACCGTTCCTTGCTTACCTTTCATCGTATCATTCTCCAAGTACATATCTTTCAGCCTTCTGGGTCGCTTCTAGGGATACATATTACATGACAGATAGACATGTTTACATCCAGCAGCTCATTATCACCTTATGACCTTAACCCTTCACAGCTTTGAGTCTAATAATGAGTTAATTGCCAACTAACTTAGTAGCTAGTTCCTGTGATGCCATACACATTGATAAGCTATGTAGTATGTACGTATGCAACCCACACGAAACTTTTGGCTACCACCTTAATCACATAATCCTTCATTTATAAACAACGGGTCCAACATTATTATATCAGAAGTGATAATATGTGTAGTGAGCAAAACATGTTAGAGGGTGATACATAAGTTTTTACCGTGTGTGATACATTTAAAAAAGTCAAATAAAGTACTTTGGTTCTTAAATTTGTTACTAGTATATTCATAAGATATTGAGTATCTAGTTTTTGAGTACATTGCAAGGCCAGCTTCTTTGACATCGGCAATCTTTATTCTAATTTTGATTATTGATATAAGCGGGATAAAAATACTGTATTTCAATTTCAACAATACTGCGCTGCAAGGAAACAGTATAAAAATAGCACAACAATTAGAAAAATCTCGTGAGCGTGGCTTTCCCGTTCATACACCTACTCTCCTCACTGCCTTCCTAGGCCCCCGTTTTCTTGTTTGCTTTTTAGTTCAATAGAGAAGAGAAATCCAGAATTGTTTTACGATTACCACTCTTAGGTCAAAATTGTTTTTAGCACCCATTTAGCTTAAGTTTAAAATTACCTTTTGTCTACTTCTGGAGGAGAAGTAGGTCTCTAGCATTCCTCTGGAAGTACTCATGGCACTCCGAGTGATGGCCGCTAGCCATAACCCTACGATTATTACAGAAGTGCCAACTGTTCTGGAGAATTCTAGATTTCCTCCCTCAGGCACCTGAATAGACCCTCAACAAGTGACAAGTGTGTTAGACATGGTCATTAACTTTTCGACACTCGTGTTCTAATGTTGCGATCCGAATTCTTTGTATTTTTCTGTACAGATTGTGTACTTTCAATTCAGTAGCTCAGTCTTCTTAGTCTTAAATAAATGTAACTGTGCAAATTTTGATTTTATCACATTGTCGTTAAGCCCTTGCTAGACTAATATCCCCGATATTTCATGTTCGTTCATGGTTCACTAGGCAATAAAAATTCCGGTAATATTTTCAAAATTTGTCTATAAATGTAACGATTAAGAACATCTCGCTGTATATACCATAATATAATCATAATAGTCTCTTCGATAATATGAAGTCTGTTCGATCAATATTGCTAGATATTCCTAATAATACAATAGAATTAGATCACCCGCTCAGTTAGTTGTACGCATTCTAACATTCTTGTTTTTCTGTTACAACCATCTCGATTGTGATCGGTTTTGTTGCTTTTACGTTGTGTGCATGTAACATTCTAATCGGCTGTATCTTCGGTTGGGATGGATATTTTTCAATATGTAAAAACTATTAAACAATTAGCTTCCACCCTTTCCACGGGCTAGTATAAACATAATATATAAAGTAGCAGTATGCGAACAAGTCTCTGTGCCGTTAGTACATAATAATTCAGTGATATATAACGTAAAGTAACTTCCTGCTTCCTCATGCACCACGCATCAGTTATCAGTATCACGGTACCGTCAATAGTATGTCCATTTAAAATTGGCGGATGGCGATCACAGTTGAAATACATACAATATATATAATACATATAATACAATGAATAAGAAATAAAATACGAGCTGAGGGTGTGATTTTCAGTGAACACCCTGCAAATTTCTAAAAAATTTAACAGTTAACGTCAGAATCTCATACGGTACTTAAATGAATATAGAGATAAAGAATTAAAAAAAGAAGGAATGTGCTATGTGAGTTAACTTATCATGATTCGTGAAAATTACAGAATGTTGTTAAATATAGTTTCAACTTATACAAGTACGTGTTTTGTAACTGAGAGTGACGTAGACGAAACACGTGAGTTTATAATCTCTGTCGGGAGACATATGTAGTGTTAAATTAAAATTTAGGAATTTTAAGATATCAACATGACTAGTCGTAAGCCAGGACGCTTTCATCATTGTTTTTCCTTACATTGGCTCTTTCTACATTATTACTTTCAGCACAATAATCCTAGACTTGATTGTTTTGTCGTTCGTTTCAGTCAAACTAACGCGTAAACACGAATTTCCCCGTGTTGAGCTGAACGGTTTCTGATTGGACGATAACCGTCGCCTTTACCTAGATACGCCGGGTCACCTATTGTTTAATGTACTGTTATAATTAGGAAATTATGCCATGCCCTTATAGAGGTAGTACTCTCGTAGAGACCTCTTTATTCTCTGCTCGGCATGTTCACTTCTATTTTCTGTGTTCTTTTGGTACTCTGTAAGGCTCACCTTACTTGCCCTCTTAAGGTGAAATTAAATGCTATTGTTTATATCAACTGTAGACACGCACCCAGGCGCTGTAAATTTGTAAGGGGCACTGTAAATTTAAGTAGCTTAATAATAATTGAGCGTGGTCCTTTGTTTACATACTTTTGTATAGAGTGGTCAACCATTTCTCATTTTTCAGTTTTATATTTGTCGACGTATTTAATGCTACTGTATGCTACCTGTTTTAAATTTTGCTTTACTGAAAAATAAGAGAGCTATTGAATATTTATTTATTCGGGTAGAATCACGTTCAGACTAAGTTTTATTCTGAGATTATTATTCGTATGAACTATTATATGCAATAAGCTATGAAAATTGCCTCAAATACATATGTAGGGAAACTAAGCCGGTAGTTGGAGACGTACAGACGTTCAACAAGAGAACTTCCACTGGGAGTTCAACAGGATATTTATATAGATAAATTGTGTACTCATAATTAGATTTATTTTCAATTTATTCAGCTTGTAAGTTCAAAAAATAGATATTTTTTGTTGTCGCTAAAATCGATTAAATGATGTAAACATTTTGAAAATTGAATCTTTTGGGAACAAAATTGCATGATTGATTGGAACCAGCTTTGTTTACTGGTTAATGTTTACTCAAGTATTTATACATACAATTATATAGAATAGTTATATACCTAAATCTGCTAATATAAAACCATAATAACTCTAAAAATATAATACACTGCACAAAATTATGGACCTGGAAGTAAGACTAAATACTCCAGAGCTTAATACACAAATCAAAACAAAATTCTAGAAGACTGATAGTCTTGTGTTGAAAGACGAATGTGATTTAGAAGCTTATCGAATCCATAAATCCAAACAAAACTCTGTCTTAACACATTTCAAACAACAGTTTTGTCCACACTACACACTTTGCCTCCTTTAATGAAGTGTCTCTTATCTGGCTCGTCGTTTGATCTCTTCTTGAGTTCTAAAACAAGCTTTTGCTGTTCGGCACGTTCCTCTGGAGACCTATCCGGACTGATGAAGACTTTACCGAAATGCTCCGAGCTACGGAGATGCCTTGCTCTAGTCAAAATCTGCTGCACGATTGTAGAGCTCGTCAAAGTCACCTTAACAGGTCTATCAGCCACCTGTTTCTTATCCTTGGATTTTATCAAACCAATTCTGCTAGCTTCTATTTTTGGCTTTTCACCAAGTTCCAACAACACTTGACCGACCTTGTCGCATAACAGCTCACCTTTCTCTTCTTTAAGACCAAAAAACATCAGATTCCGACTTCGGTCTTCTTCTGCTACAACATCCTTAATGACATTCTTCAAGATGTTTCTATCCGAATCCAACAAACGACCTGCTGTTGAGGCTTTTGATTCCTTTACCGCGGCGCTGTATGTCTTTAACTCGGATTTCACAGTATTCTCAACTGATGCTACAACCGAAGATTTCAAGTAATCAAGCTGCTCGTCTTTGGCAGCTAGCAGCTCTTTCTGCAATACAACTATTGTCCCCTGGCTGTCAATTAAATCGGAGTGCAATTTCTGGTTGTACTGCATTAAAATGTTACATTCAGAATTTCTAGAAATTTATTTCAGAGATGTATTTGTCCCGCTTATTGTATCAAGGCAGCCTAAACCAGACAAGTTTGGAAAAAATTTCTGACTTCATCATTACCACTTGATCTCAAATAAATTTTATCAATTGGTAGGCTAATAAGCTTGTTTTCCACATTTTGTCTTGAGGATGCATAATATGCCTTCATTACTAAAGCTTCATTATTATTTTCTCGGACATTGAAGCCGCACTAAGTCAAAGTCATTATTGTGTCGAAGTTGTTTCGTTTTATGTAAATTGTTTTATTAAAAAGCAAATTTGTTGAAGACTTTCTTGAGTGTGTGTGTGTGTGTGTGTGTGTGTCTAAAAAAACGTACCAATCATTTCAGTATTGAATGTTAATTTTCTGGAAGTTCCTGTTTGCAGAAGATCAAATCCACTACGAGAAAGATCCAATCCACCCCGTCAACAATGTCTCGGACATTGAGCCTTACAGCCCGAAATCCACAGACACGGTCATATGTGACGTGTTGGGTATATTCTTTATCTGCACCTGGATAATATCCACATCTCTTAACCCTCTCCTCTACTGGTACTTCAGAGGAATCAAGAGGAGCTCCAGTGCAGAGCTCAAGAAATATCTTGCAGTTACAGACTTCCTGACAAATGTTTGGGCCCCGCTTGCCTACACCTACTTCATGCTGCTCGGTGATCTAGTGCCCCTGTCTCATGTCGTGTTAAGGTACGTCCGCACCTGGACCTGCATCTTCGGTTGTTTTTCTCAGATTATAGGTTTCCTGCTTGCAGTCACCAGAACCAGCAAGATAATGTTCCCTTTCTTCAATTTTAAGCAAAGATACGTGATGATATACTTGGGGTGTTACTTTGCCTACATGATTCTCAATAATGGAGCTTATTTTGTTGTCAGCGAGTTCTTTCTCAACGAGACTTGGGGCATCAAGTTACTGAAGATCGGGTTTGAACTGTGTTTTTGGGCGAACTTTACCCACTGCTGCGCTGGACTGTTCATATCTGTCTTCACTGTGGTATATCTTTACTTCACTACCAGGTTTGTTCTGATACCTATTTGTATTTTAGCATCATTTACATTATCTCCAAAACAAATGAAATTATATGTTTGATTACCATCTGCCATCTGGTGCCCCATTATCCTTTTATAACATCTTTCTTTGGTGCAGTGATAAGATAATATAATATACAAACACATCTCAGGAACAGTCCGGGTAAAAAGAACGCAAAGTACATGACGAGCTGCATTACCATTCTGTTCATCAACATACCCTACTTCATATCAGTTACCGGCCTGGTCCTCGTCATGTGGTTCCTGCCTCCCCACGTTAGCCTCCACGAGATAATCTTCGCTTGGGTCCCCATTGTGACCTCCACATGCAACCCCATTATAATCCTCACCAGAACAAGTGATGTCAGAGTTGCTGTTCGAGCTGGTGTTCTTCGTCGACCTATTCACCAGGGACCATCTTCCTCTAGAAACTAAATTTCAGTGTTTCAAGTTTTTAAATGCGTGGGCTGTGTCAGTTTCCGTTTTATTTTTCATTTCATCTTTTGTCATGATTAAGTCCAACCCAGAAACGTCGACCTCATTCAGTTGTTTATTCTTCAAGTATTGAGGTTTCTCTGATCAGCTCTACATGATTGCTTGGCGTTATCAGTCTCGCTTCGATTCGAAAATTATGATATGAACAAATTTCTTCTCTCAACGAACTATAACACCGCTTGATCAGTGGTTTGTAATTTGATGTAACATAAACGTTATACTTTAATGATTATGAGCAAATTGCCTGTTTTGAAAAACTGAATCTTATTGTTTATATATTTGATTGTATGATTGTTCCAAAATTTTCCTATTTCGACAAAAGTAATTGCATTAAACGACTTTCAATTTGTAACTCATGTAACTGACAACGTTTATTTTCGTCACAAAACTCTATTTTCTTATGGTGTTCAGAGGTCACGTGGCAACTGCTCAAATATATGATTTTATTCGTAATGTGGGCTCAGAAAACATCCAGAAAATTCCTGGCCCTCAAACCAAAATAACGAAAACACGAAATAGCAGTACAATCTTCCAACATTACGCTGCAGTCTCTTCAAATAATTGCTAGAATATTCTGAACGAATGTTCTGGAACAAAATCATTCTTGCGGTAATAAATTTTAAGATAATTTATTGATAACAGATAAAAATTCACAAACAAACAAGGAAATAACCTTGTTCTTTCAGATTAGTTTTGTTAGCTAGGATCAGTCGTGCTTCCTTAACTTTTATGTCTGTGGTGCTCGAGGCACGTGCTAAAGTTATTACAGTTTATAGATCACTTGTGTCTTAAAAAGATGACAGGCGCTATAATAGTGTTTTACGTACGGTTTATCTTTGTTTGAGTCGGCTGTACGCTTAGTAACTTAGTTGCTGTTGTGTTTTCTACTGGCCGATCAGTTCCCCGGTGATATTAGAAATGATAAGTGGAGGTTGGTCACCAAATCTTATTACGTCACAGTTGTAGACCCAAATATTTGTACAAATATAGTAGTAACCTGAACTTTTGTACTGATATTTTTGACTGAAAATCGTACAATTCACCGTATCATTCACAAATTCACATAGAACGTCCAATAAAAGAAAGAATTATCTTCACTCTGACTACTTCTGATTGGTCACACTAACAATGACTACTTCTGATTGGTCACACTAACAATGACAACTTCTGATTGGTCACACTAACAATGACAACTTCTGATTGGTCACACTAACAATAACAACTTCTGATTGGTCACACTAACAATGTCAACTTTCGATTGGTCACACTAACAATGACAACTTCTGATTGGTCACACTAACAATGACAACTTCTGATTGGTCACACTAACAATGACAACTTCTGATTGGTCACACTAACAATGACAACTTCTGATTGGTCACACTAACAATAACAACTTCTGATTGGTCACACTAACAATGTCAACTTCTGATTGGTCACACTAACAATGACAACTTCTGATTGGTCACACTAACAATGACAACTTCTGATTGGTCACACTAACAATGACAACTTAACTTCTGATTGGTCACACTAACAATGACAACTTCTGATTGGTCACACTAACAATAACAATTTCTGATTGGTCACACTAACAATAACAACTTCTGATTGGTCACACTAACAATAACAACTTCTGATTGGTCACACTAACAATGACAACTTCTGATTAATCACACTAACAATGACATCTTCTGATTGGTCACACTAACAATGACAACTTCTGATCGGTCACACTAACAATAACAACTTCTGGTTGCTCACACTAACAATAACAACTTCTGATTGGTCACACTAACAATGACAACTTCTGATTGCTCACACTAACAATGACAACTTCTGATTGGTCACACTAACAATGACAACTTCTGATTGGTCACACTAACAATGACAACTTCTGATTGGTCACACTAACAATAACAACTTCTGATTGCTCACACTAACAATGACAACTTCTGATTGGTCACACTAACAATGACAACTTCTGATTGGTCACACTAACAATGACAACTTCTGATTGGTCACACTAACAATAACAACTTCTGATTGGTCACACTAACAATAACAACTTCTGATTGGTCACACTAACAATGACAACTTCTGATTGGTCACACTAACAATGACCCCTGTCAGGAGGAGGAGATGATAGAACTGCTGTACAGATGGGCACTAGCTGACAGAGAGCCCCTCACTTCCTACGCAGTGGAGATGCTCAGCTACGGGGAGACGCTCTGCAGCAGATACCACCAGAACAACATGGAGGTGGTCAGCTTACTGCTCCACAAGTTGAAGGAAATTTACGCTAGTGCTAAGTCTGAATACCTTGCTGCTCATCCTACTTCCCTGTCTATAGGTAACTTTATACTTCTACTTCAATACTTCTTACCGTGATTCTTCATTTATTCTCTATTATTGCAGGTGTTCAAGTTTTTATTTTAATGCTATCTCGGATGTATCACTGAAATTGTAATTTATGGAGAACCTAGACATACATGAATAATAGTATAATGTTATCAAATAAATACCAACAAACCAGTAACTCCGTGCCAGGATCAGCTCCGTGGAGTGAAGACACTCAGGACGGAACAGAGACAGTGAGCTCCTCACCTGACATAGCTGATAACCCACTCCTGGACCCGGCCCTCGTGGGAAGGAGGAACTTTGAAGAGTTCAAGTGTCAGGCAGTCCTACACTTTCTTCTCTCTCTGGGAGAGTACCAAGAGGTATGTATCTTTCCCAGCAGAGGTGCCATTTAGGCGTCATTTAGTTGCAGCGATCATGCAGCTTTTCTGATTTTACTGCTGAAGTGCACATAAAAACACAGAAAATGTGCAAATTATGCAACTGAATGGTGCCTCTTTTCTTCAGCTGCTACGTCAGTATGTGTATTGTGTTAAGTGAAGTTTTATGTTTATTAGATGCATGCTATCTTAATCCCAAGTTGAATTATTCTGTTATTAACAGATTAAGATAATGTTCATTCAAAACAGCTGATAACATTTTTTCTTAATAGTTTTTAGGGTTAATAATGAAGAACAGCATCTTGAAATTGCTACTGAACTACATCAGCATAACAGACATCAACAGTCCTATCATATTCGACATAATCCGAGTAAGTTATTAAAAATAAAAACACTAAATAATGAAGACATAACAGGTGCTGTTATGCTATTCGTTTCAACTTCAATTTAAATACTAATTGTATATCATAAATAAGAAATAACTTATATTGATTACTTTGGCAGTGAAATTACATGATATGTATGCACTGAAATGAAGTAACATAAATGTAAATTTACATTTAAACAGATCTAACATTCAATACATTACAGTATTTATCCGCGTTGCTGTGCCACAAAAAGTTCGCAAGTGACTTCATGAACTATGAAGGATTACAACTGTTAATGGACTTGCCGTACAACCAGCGTGCTTCCACGGGTATCAGCACGTGCTTCTACGCGCTCGTATTCCATTCCACTGTTATGGAGAGACTGTGTTCTTATAACAGACATCTTATTGCACCTATGATGACGTGAGAACAATGTGACCTGAATTACCTGAATAATATTGTTACAATGACAAAATAAACGTTTTGATGACTAAATGGAATAAAAATGTTTTTTAGCTATAAATTCCAAAATTTATGCCTAATATTTACTCTTTCAGTACTTGTCTGCGATTGCTGAAAGGAAGACATGAAAGTGGTCGCTCTCACGTCACGTTGTTTCTTACTTTCGGGTTTCATTATCAGACTATCATTGAGGAGTTTGACAAGCAATGTGGTCTTCCCATATTCTTCAAAGTGGTGAGTCTGAATGTCTGTAGTTACTAGTTACCCTTACCTTTTGTGTCGGCAAACTTTCTAGAACTAATAGTAGAATTAGACAATGTTTAAAATAAGTCGTAGCATATAAACTGATGTCATTCAAATCACAATAGGCTTTAAAATCTAAGTTACCTGTTAAAGTCACATAATATAATAATGCATTAAAGACAGAGGTGTGTCTAGTTTCATATAGTTGGAAAGATTGGTCAATGATACTGTTTATATAGAACAGTGATCCACCATTTCGCCGGTTTTACATTTAAGGGTTTTTCAGATATATAATGTATTCAAAAGGTTAATGGTGGCAATTTCCAATATTACAGTTGTTAACCTATTGCAGTTCCAATACCACAACTCTCAGACTAAAATATTAATACTTCTCACTTCTCAGCTGAGAGGAGCAGTTGATGCGCTGAAGAACCCCCCAGTAAACGAAGTAGAAGTATTCTTACTACGTCAGAAGATGAAGCACACGTGCAACGCAGTGAGACAGTACCTCGCGGGGCACACTATCCTTTACGCGGAACACCTGCGCCGCGTTAAGGATCACCAGGGAGTGGGGATGAGCCCTCAGATTTATACCAACCACAAGGTGACATTCCTGTTAGTACCTGATCACAAGATGATACAGCAGTCAATAAATACCTCCCCCCAGACAGCAGACTTGATCAGCTTGCTGTTTAGCCAAAAATAGTATAAGTGCCTAAAATTGGGCTTTGTATTGACGCATTAATTCGGTATGCTTTATATAAATTATAATGTCGATGTAGAGCGTCATTCCAATTACTAGATATAATCATTGCGTAGTAGGATAACACAGTACATATTATACATGAAATCATAGGAGATAATGGTAATAAAAAGTTAAACATTCGACGGAGACTTTTGTTACAAAACAAACAAAGAACAAATACACAGGCATTGGAAATAGAAGATAACATTAAAACAGCGTACGAGTATATCCAATCTAATGCCGATTTTGACACCCTCTGGAAGCCAATAGATGATGTTCACAGTCTTGGTGGCTTTGAAACATTTATCCAGGCATTCTTTCTGAGTAAGCTACTTAAACCGATCACTTTATCCATTTTATTCATCGACACTTAAATTATGAAATTATGAATGAAGTGATTAATTTACCTATTTATTGTTCTAAATTTCCGTTTGTTTAGGTGAGACGTTCCGTTCCACGCGATATGACGCTTCACCCTGCATCATAACCGCCCTAACCTTCCTCACCATACTGCCCAGATATCAACTCAAGCTTACTGAGCAGTATCCATTTTATCCTGCACCAAATGGTTTGTTTTACACTTTCTGTACCGATGGCCTATAAAGCATCAAGGTACTTGTGACCTGCGCTGTGCACATTAACTTATCTAAAAGCTAATTTCATTTTGCACAGTCCCTACTCAAGGGCTCAAATGGGATGAATTATGAGATAAGTCAAATTACTCAAATACTTCATAGACTCCCATTACATTTTGCGTGTACAGGAGTTGCGTCTGTGCTAGATATTTGTGTACAAATCTTTGGTATACAAGGCAGGGAAGCAATACACAAGGAGGCGTTTCGTTAATCACGATTCTTCATATAAAATGTTACATTGTCGGAAAGTTCTCATGTAAACTAAATGACCTACAGGAGATTCACACACGGGTATAAAGATGATCCTGCTGGCAGCCGAGTCATTCGGTAACATTGATCTGCAAAGAGCAGCTTTGAGTCTCATTGTCGTGGTTGTATGTGGACCTTACCGTGCTAGTAACCTCAACTTGGTACGTTTGTCAGCTGTTTTAACTACTAAAAATGATATCAAACATCACTTGTTTTGTGGAAGTTTTGTTTGTCCTGTAATTCTGTTTCCCTTAGAGTATGACACCGTCGCAGCATTCAAGAAAGAACAGCGCCGACGATGTTATGCACAAAATGTGGTCAGCTATCCGAACTAACAACGGTATAAAAGTCCTCATGTCGCTCCTTCTCACCAAAACCCCTGTAAACCATGCTGATGAACTACGAATGGCCGCCTGTAAAGCCTTAAATGGTCTGTGTCGATCGAGGGGCGTTAGGCAGATCGCATCTAAACTGCATCTGATGAGCAGTGGACAGTTGCTAGCTTTAATGAGAGAGCCAATTCTTCCAGGTTTGTCATTTTTGTCTAATTAATTTGGTCTCAAGTGCCTGAGTCTTGTTGTCTAAGATTGATTGAATACTGAATTATCATGAATTGCATCTTGTTCTGCAGAATGAGGATGCAAATTGTGATAATTCAACATCTTAGCGAAAGGAACCTAAACAAAGCAAAAACGGTCTACTCAATCTAACACAGGAACGCGCCCAAAACATTTTGATGGATTGTCTACGCGTGTGTAACGCGCAATGTCGTAAATTTAAGCGCGCAATTCCACGCGGTTTCTTTAATTCAACCTGGAATCTGGATATCAGGTCGGAATTTCCGATGCACTTTAATGTGCCATCAAAGTAATGTAAACTATTTTTTCCTTACCGATGTATCGTGGCCCATCGTTCATGAAATAAATTATACTTACAATTTAAAATAAATAACCATGCATTGAACCACATGACTTAATATCGGTTATGTCACAGGTTTTTTTAAATTCATTTGATTTTTCAGAAAACGTGGAGACTCACTCAAAGTTCTGTACATACACAAGATCTCTATTAGAAGTATTGTTCGGGGTTTCAACAGACAAAGCAGCTAGTGAACCATCCTTGATGAACAAGATGACTAAAGTCGACATAGTATCTAAAACACCTATAACTTTCAATAAAGACGAGATTTATAATCTATTGCATTCAAGTTTGCTTGAGTGAGTATGAAATGAAACTTTTTACACTCTTTCGTTTTAAATAAATATATGAATATTGTGAATAAGATAAAAACGGGCCCCGTCTATTTGATACTAAATTGCAAAAATGTTGTGCAATATTTTACACATTCTACCAAATAACATTTTCCTTATCAAAATCACTTTAATTTCAGGTGTGGACTAAAAAGCACCGCAAATGCTCTGGTAGATGAAGTAAAACTTAAGTTAGGAAAAGACCTGGCACTGTATCCTGTAAAATCAGAACCTCTACTTCCCAGTACGACTCACCTCATGTCCCCTATTACTCCCTGCAAGAAATTAGTTATCCGTAATGCTCGATCTAGAGTAGCCAGCAGCAGCGAGCCGGATATATTGCCTTCTAGTCTGCAGTCTCCTACAGCTGCACTTAGATCTATATGCTCCAAGGTAAGGCAATGTTATTTTGTACGGATTTCAGTTAATGAATAAATCAATCTGATAAAGGTGATGTTTTTTTGTTTCAAAGATTTGTGACTATTCGCACTATTAAAATGGCTTAATCTCCCCACGGAGTTCAAAAGTTTGCAATCAAACAAAGGCAGGATTAATTAAGAATTCAAATAGCTGTGAAAGGTTATTACCGTATCCACTACAACAGATCGTATATATGATGAAAATATGACTAGGTACCACAGAAGTTATTTGGAGTTAAGGATCACTTGGAGGCATTAGAAGCTCGGACAACAAACCACATGTACCACCCTCCATCACTCAATGACCTGGTCTACAACTTTATGAGAGAACAGCATATGATGGTGAGCTATGTTATTTTTTAGGGTTATGTTATTGTTGTAGTCAATTTAGATCGAAAACTTTTCAAACTTACAAATCACCAGTGAATAACCATGTCTTCATTTCTCTTTGTTTCCAGTGTGAACATCCCATGTCAATTGTCCCCAAGTTCTCACTGTTCCAAGAGCACAGATGTCCGGACCCCCAGCCTCAGCTCTACGAAGCTCCTGTAAATGTGGTCGCCAGGCACCAGCAGAGACAATATGGAGTCCCATATGGAGGTTTGTGTTGAGATGTTTTATGTTAGATACCACCAAATTCAGTTTATTACGTTACAGTGGCGAATACTGGCTCATTCGTCAACATTATGGGGGGTATCCAACACCAACAAAAACCCCTTTTACCTCAAATTCCCATTTTGGGGTTGGGTTTTTTTGGTTTTTTCCCTCTTTTTTGTAATTTTGTATCCAATTATTTAAAAACCCAAAAATACAAAATACATAAAACAAATAAAACATATCATAATTGATAATGGGGATGATGGAGGGTAACATATAACTTGGTCTCAAATGAATGTAGGTGTAAATAATATAAATTCTAACATTTTTTTGTAATAAAAACCAAAAAATACCCGAAAAAACCCAACTTTACCTCAAATTTCCATTCTTGTTTAGCTCTTAACTACAGATTTGTGGCGAATAACTTACTCTACACGAACATTTAATTAGTTTGATGGAATATGATATATGGCATATAATTTGGTTAACAATTAAAACATATTCGGTTAAAACTTTAAAACTAAATATGCGATTAATTAAGTTTTTAACTAGAACCGGGTCACTGGAACTTCAAACTAACTACTAGAACTAATGATAGAACCTCATAACTCTGTACGATTGTAATAATTATAGTAAACGCTTACCCTCGTCGCAAATATTATCAAGCCGATAAAATTCTCTTACTCGATTGTCCCAATAGCCAGACCTCTCGTAGTTTTCGACTTGATCTTTTAGCAGTTCAAAATCCGGAAAACTGAGCATGTTTTCCAAGAACTGTAACTTGGATCCAAAGTTGCACGTGTTCACAAAAAGCTGACAAGAGTTAATGTTACGTGAGGCAGTAAGCCCTGTCACCAAGTTAGCGGGGGTAGCTCCACTGATCACCTTCTGTGGGGGTGTTACCTCGCCTGCCAACCGGAAGGTGCTGTCATGTTCTGACAGAGAGAATCTTTCGTAGAGAACCTCGGATATCCCCCTCACGTTCCGCTTCCGGATTGTCGGGACCAGAGAGGCGTTCTTTTTGATGACCTGGGCGGTGGTCTCTGCGCTCAGTGCGCTTGCCAGGTCGAGGATATCTGTAGGAACGATCTGTTTGCCACTCATCTCCGAGTTCATGGGACAGTAAGGTGGACAGGTAAGACCGTCTGCATCGTGCTTCTTGATGATGCCAGGCAGCTGTGAGGTAGGGAGGTAGACCACGTCCGTTGCATCTGCCAAAATCACCTTTATAGCCCCCGCACGAGTTATCCCTAACTTTTCTGTTATTTCTAGAAACTTCCTAGCTGTTCTTACAGCATCTTTGTCGTAATCAACTAGGTTGATTGAGGCATTGGTCTCTATGTGGAGTATAATGCCAGTTAAGGGAAACCCTGCTCCAACAAAAGTGAAGTTCTTGTCTGCTAAATTTTTGTATCCAAAAAGCTCAGGAAACGCTGAAATGAACCTTTCTATTTTCGGCGAATCGGACGACAGGTTGAGAGCTGACCGAAGGATCGGGTTGTTGTTCAGCATATCACCCGAGGAGGTAAAGTGGTACTTAGCGGCGGAGTTCTGTAGAATGGCTGGAACCTTGAGTAGCTGGAGCTCCGCTGTTACCAACTCGGAGTAGTTCAGAAAGTAAAGGAAAGGTAGGTCCGTGTAGACTTTAGGGTACTGGAGCTTCAAGGAGCGGGGTAAGTCAACGACCAGTGCTTCAAGCAAAGTAACAGGAGTAACATGTATCGTCCTCTCAGTAGCCGTGTTTCTCACCATATCCAGATACTGATCAGGGTAATCATCAGCGATGCTGAAGATGAGATGAAGAGCCTCCTGTTCCATCGCCTCCTCTCCGTGGATAGCAGTATTTCTCAGCAGAGTAACATGCTCCTGTGCTTCAGAGAACACTGCTGACATCACTCCTTTCAACTTCTGGGGAGAGTACCTCATCAGAGTCAAGCCAACTGCGGCACTCAGACAGGTATTTACCAGTTGGCAAGGTGCCAGAGCATATTTAGCAGACCTCTCTGCTCCCATTGAGTCATCCCAGAAAACAGGTTCCTTGCTGCACCGTCCTGTTCTCTCCCACTCTTTGTGAGAGCATAAGAATTCCCACCGGGTATGGAGTTTCTTGGAAAGATCTACAAACTCCTCTATAACTCCGGCGACTGGTCTTTTCTCAATGGAGATTTTATCCTGATCGAGGATTTCATGAGCCGTCTTTGTAGGGTTCTGTACAACTTCTACATTCTCATTTTCTCCAACTGGAAACTTCATCCCCACTTACTTGTAGAATATCGGTTGTTATTTGTGCTACGGAGTGAGAACAAAAGACAGCGTATGGAATTAATTTAAAACTAGACTATCTATCTATACTATATTTTAAACTTGAGGAAATCTCCCCGGAAACGGCATAAAAGTAGTAAAAATTGGCCAAAAACCGTCCCTCCGTTGAGAACAATTTCAGCTCGCAAATGGAGTCGAAAACTCGAGATTTTTAGGAAGATTGCAGAAAAAGGATATGTAGCTATTATAGTCATTTTAAAATTTTGATTTAGACTTTAGATTTTCTATAATTAACGTCGGAAATGAGGATTAATTAGCGACAGAATAATGGCGATATTTCAACAAAATTTTACTGCGTCGTTGCTACGCAACATCAAAAGATTGCACGTGCAATATGATGCGGTAAAAAGTATCGTCTAGGGCACACCTAGACCTATTTTCGTCATTGTCAAATAAAATACATACTTTCTATAGGACAGAGGTAGATGCCCTAGATGATGAAGAGAAATTAGAACATAACTGATATTTTAAATTTCGAATAAAGCTTTCGACTTGCGGGTTTCTAGTATGTAATAGATATAATAGACTAAAAACAGATATTTTAATAACACTTTGCTACGAAAGTAAATGGTTTAAATTGAAAATGTTAATAATCACTGTTCTTAATTTGGTGTGATCGTTATATGATCGCACGGTCTGATAAAAGAAATCGAATCCGCCCAAAACACAACACTCTGAATCTGGCAGTCAATCTACGCTTTTATCATTTTTCTCGCTATCCTAGGGGACAGTGGATGTATCTATCTTGTAATCTACTCACAGAGTAGTTTTATGAAGTGCTGGCTTGAATCAAGACTCAAGTCATATCTGCAGCTGCTCTTAACCACATAAAAAACTAGCAAATTTTTGAACAAAACAGAAATTGTGTAGATCCGGCTGTGCAATACTTATACAACAACACAATTAACTGATCGAAATTGAACGTTTAGTAGTATGGCGACTGGAAAACCTAACCGTGCACAACCATCGCAAAATTTTGCTTTCATCAAAATCATAATAACTATGTTGGTATTACAGCTGTGCTCGGATTACAATAACCCACTCTATAACCTCAGGTAGAAACGGTCGATACAGGGACTACAAGTACATATTTAGCAAGTTCAAACCATACTACACGCTGAGAATGGACAGTAGGAACGCAGAGGAATGGGAACATGTTAACTACACCAGCTGTCTAACTTTTTCAGATTATATAGTTGCGGGCTGCAATACCGGCCAGATCAAGGTGATCACCTAACTTTATTTGTATGTCGAAACTTCAAACGAAATTCATAGTCGTATTGTGATGGAATAGGTACTCAAATGACCACCAAATGGGATGTCAATGAACGAGCTAATTAACTTAAATTTTTCGGGGAAAAGAAGAGGCCCGGTATGTAGAATAGTTAAAGTGTACTTTATCTGTTTTTGGATCAAGAAAATTCAATTGTTCCATAGGATGTGCTATTACCTTATTAGATTTGTTTAGATTGAACTTTCTAAATATCTCTGGAATTCTCAGGTATACAAGATGACAGAACACCCTCCCTACTATTGTATGCAAACAACTGAGAGTGCCGAATGTGAACCAATTACCTCTCTCGTCCTCTCACAATCTTCCAAGATGATGGTATCTAACTCAACCGGAGTAAGTCCTCCCTCCATCCCTCCCTCCCTCCCTCCCTCCCTCCCTCCCTCCCTCCCTCCCTCCCTCCCTCCCTCCCTCCCTCCCTCCCTCCCTCCCTCCCTCCCTCCCTCCCTCCCTCCCTCCTCCCTCCCTCCCTCCCTCCCTCCCTCCTTCCCTCCCTCCCTCCCTCCCCTCCTTCCTCCCTCCTTCGCTCCTCCCTCCCTCCCTCCCCATGAATACGAAACAACAAACGAAATACTAATTAATACGAACAAAGATTATGGAAACTGCTATTTTATTGAGCAATTTGCAAAGTTTTCATGCTTAATGAACCATCCCTCATATTCTCCTAATCAGATAAGATTTGCGACAAATATACTGTGTTTTAATATGATCATGTTATAAGCTGCTCTTCTGCACATTAATTTCACCAATTAAGAATTTCTGTGGGTCACACTTTGACACCTGTTCCATATCTTATCTTAGAACTAGAAGTTCTGCATCACGCTGGAAATCTAACTGGATCTCATTTATACAGAATTCCTACTTAACGTCGAAGAAATTGAATTGATCTTATGAGAAATTATGATATTTTCAGGCTCCATCTAGTTAAGATTACTTGGTATGCGCGAAATGTGACCAGCTTACATTAGGTTTATAATTAGATCAGCTTATCAAAAGAACGATTACATCTGGTCGTTTTGGTAGCGGTTATGTACAGAGCTGTTAAATATGAATAATTTATCCTCAATTACCTCGCTGTATTAAAAGTTAAATAAATTACCTAAAATACGCGAATAATATGTAAAAAATTCGGCGTTTGGACTACACTTCTTGATATCGCCAATCTTAAGCCATAAACAGTTCCAAGTAATATCTTAAGTCTATCACAGTTTCTACCGTGTACGTAAACAAGAAGAAGCGTAAAGAAGCGTGGCAATAATTTTTAGAGAAATAATTGTACAAGTAATCTGTGCCAATTAAAAGTTTGTGGTAGAAAAGCTTCCTGTTTATGCTAAATGAACAAATGCTGACAACGTCACAGATATCACGAATTTATAGACATATTATACAAAAGCACTAAACGAAATTATGGTGGAATTCTGACCTCTCCTGTTCGGTTTATAATATACATTCTTCACGTCTTAACATACGGTTCATCTTTAAACTCACTGCCTGAAAGCTTTCTAGGGAAATTTGTAAATACGTCTCCAACTGATTTAATCACATTTCAGCATAAATGTTCTCAAATTTAAGGTAATTTTGCGAAGTTTGGAACAAATTTAGTGTAAAAAGATAAGGATTTTAAACAAAAATGGCCTGATTCTGAGCCTCATCAATGGGCTCTATAAAATGTATACCTTTACCACTCAACAGGAGGGCGACATTGACCGACCAAACAACAGCTGCACAATATGGGGTGTGCGGAGTCCTGGTAGCAGTGAGGCGGGCAACAGTCGGGATCTGCTTGAACACCGCCACGCTCTACAAGGGGTGGACCATGCAGTCTTCAGGTACTGGTCTGTTCAAGTACAGTTTTGTGATATCAGTATATACCATTTCCAATTTCTTTTCACAGAAGAGTCGGATTGGTTTAATTTCTATTACCACGAAAAACTCCTTTCAGTTATCTATCGGACGATAAGCTGCTCTGCACAATGCCTGAACACAAGTCCTCTATCGTGGACTGCTACACTGGCAAGACCGTCACTGTTCTAGCTAACCCTCCCGGGTGAGTGCTGAGCGTTTTCATTAGCTACTTAAACAGTTGGATTGTTCTGGAGATCATAATTTTGATAAATTGTTTATTTCAATCTTCTACCTATCCATCACCAAACACTGTATTCAAAGTATCTTTATCTCTGTCACCCAGATCAAACGGCTACTACAAGAACCACGCGGTATTCAACTTCACGGACGACCTGGTGTTAAATGACGGTGTACTGTGGGACTACAGGACCCCCAATGCTATCCACAAGTTCGACAAGTTCAATAACTTTGTCAGCGGAGTGTTCGCTCCCTCTGGTACGTGTTGTTTTGAAGATCTGCTTCATGTGTGCTACATGAGACATGGCCAATGTTCATTTTTCATTCTAGAGACTTGAGCGTTTCAATGATATTCAATTGCCGATTTTCACAACTGTAAAATCAGGTATTGACATAATGATAAACACGGAAGTCTGGGATATGCGAACTTTCAAGCTTCTCAACACCATTAACTCACTTGATAACTGCCTTTTGAAGTACAACCACTCTAAAGACGTGATGTACGGACGTAAGTACTCATTTCACCAAACCAAAAGGGTCAATTTACTTCTAGGTAAGGATCATAGTGATAAATATGGATTATTCTCGGTGTTAGTCCAACTAAAACATCCGAATAATAAGGAAGATAATAACTTTCGCAATTACACTTTAGCGGATTAAAAATTGTTTACTACGAGTTTTGATTCTTTTCACTCTACTTTAAAGATAACAAAAACATAATATCTCCAAACAGTGTCACATGTGAAGCAGGAAATACTAGACCACGAGATCAGTCCTTCTTACAAGCACGTTCTCGGCCCATTCGAGAGCACATTTAAAACATTTGCTGCTGACGGAGGCTACCAGTCTCTTGGTACTTTCGATGTTGGCAAACAGATTGTTGACTTGAATTTCTGCAGGTTTTAACAAATCAACAGATGTTGTAGGTTTTATCGTTTATTTATTTGATGTTAAGGTCATGCCAGTTTGAGTTCTAACCACATAATTCTTATCTCGAAAATGATAACACTTTCTCCAGGAGAGATAAACTTCTGGTGACAGTGGAATCAACCAATGAAGAGTTCACACAGCTCTGGTCAGGGGGCTCCGTCGTCAAACTTTACTTAGTAAGTTTCACAAAACCTAGCTTAAGCCTTAATTTAGCTTACAAATCCCTTTCATTTCACCCGTGTATCACGATCACAAAAGAGCTGAACCCAAAATGCGCCATGATATTTTGAACAAAAGATAATAATTGTTGTTCTCAGGTAGGTAGAAGTAAAGCTTCCCGAGAAGACGACGAAGAAGAAGAAGACGAAGAAGATGATGACGATGACGAAGATGACGACGATGACGATTCTGTTGACAACTCCGAGTTTGATGACGACGATGGTATGAAGAACATTCCTTGTTATCACTCGTTTAAGTAGATGGTGGTGGTTGTTGCAATTCGTTTTCCCACGGTTCAATTTTAAAGTTGTTATTACCAAAAATATAGTTGTGGTAAGAGTTGAGCGGGTTGAGTTTGTGAAATAAGGTCCCACGGTTAGCATGTTACATTAACATCTCAGCAGCTTGTCTCTTCTTCAGGCGTATCCGATTCATCTGCCCCCACTTCTCAACTCACCTCTCAACCCGCTAGTTCACAAGTCACCCTTCAATCCTCTCAATTAGCATCATCGGGGCAAAACGTGACGTCATCGCAGAATCACGTGACGTCATCACAGAGTCCTGACACGTCATCATCATCATCCTCAAGCAGCTCGGGTAACCGTGCAGCACTGAGTTTGAGGCCTCGTTCTCGATGCATAATATAATAGGGGTTCATGTTTTTTGGCCATTTTTGTTCAAGCAATACCCTATTTTTAAGTAGATTAAATTATGAAATTGCCCGATTCGAAACCTCGCAAAAATTTTAAATATGAGAGATTGAACAAATGGGTTAAACAGAATGTACAACAAATACGTTAGTCCATTCTATTATGGATTGATCCATCTATTCTCTTCGCGTCAGTCGAGAGGGACCATTAATTTCAAGTGTAATATTTTATTCCTGCTATATTTAAATCCTATCTATTTTAGATGACGGCTCAATATCAGAAGATGTAATTGACAGAATAAGTGATTCATCCATGTCTCAAGATGACGACGATGATGACGACGATGAAAACTCAGCCATGGACCCTCAGTCCGCTCTTAACTTCTCTGTCGTGTCTGACTCCGACGATGGTGAGTGAACGTCATCCAGTTTTGATGAATAACTTATTTAACTTATCTAAATTATTTAATAAGTTTTTCTCGAGGTCCATCTTCAGTATCTGTCCATCAAACTTATTATGAGGAAATTTTCAAGTTTAAGAAATATTTTTTTCAGATCACACTCAAGGAAGGATAGTTTGAAGATCGAAGTTCTAAGTTATCTTGATATTTAATCAGAAATAGTTGGCTAGCTGGGTAGGTAATTGTCAGTGTCGGACAGTAGTATGTTACCATGGTTACCTTGATAAGTTGACATTTGAATTGACAAATCTGTTGGGTGGATACTGGATAAGGATAGAGGGGGCCGGGTATATTTTGCAGCATGATGTGAAATTATCGATTTTATATTACGACAACATTTGGACGAAAACTCTTCAATTCACTCCATTGAACTCTGACTGTTTAATCTTTGACTTTTAGTCCCGAAGTCTTTTATCTCAGAAATCTTAATAAAATGATATTGCGTGATGTCCTGTCAAGGTTGTAGTACAGAGCCTGTATATATAAATCAGTCTGTTCATGTTGGGAGAAAATACGCGCCCACGTGTCTCTAAGTTCTGATCACGTGACATTCACGTCACTTTGGTAATTTTGTCATGAAAATAGTAACCAACATGACGTTAATTTAATTTAACCGGACCTTATAGAATCATCAATTCGGAAATACTCCTTTGTGACATGAAGCTTCTTTACTAATATTTCGCACAATAGCATGTTTAGAGAATGGATACTCCGCTCAGTTTAATACTGCGGCTGTATACAATTTGAATAGGGCTACTTTTTAATCTTTTTAAAGCTTTTATTCAAAATTTTATCCATTTATTTCTAATTTGATATGTTGGTAATTGGTATTCTGTAATACTGTTAAATTATTAATGATTATTTGCTAAGCCTGGCGTGATATGTTCTAAACGTATAAACTATAGCTTTTAATTCAGCACTGCCCATTGTAGTAGCCCAACAGAAAAGCAAGTTTTGCACATGACTATGGATTAGTTTAAGAAATCTTTATGTGTTTCATTAAACGGCCTTGTAAGAGGGTCTTAGTGAACTGTGCAGTTAACTGTTTCAGTCAATTAACTTTACTATTTTTGGCTGATATATCATAGTAAAACGTATGGAATTTTGCATAGCTGACGTTTACTTCTTCCTCCAAATAGTGAACGGTCTCTTATTATTTTGTTAAACTTGTTATTTAACTTAGAAATTATAAATCGCCTCGATCTGTAAATATGGACGGGGTGGTGGGGGTAACTCTTTGTACCAAGATGTTTGTGCAACTTCTATATTTGTAATTCATACTTAATTTAATGCTGAACTCAATACATTGATATCCTGTATTTCATTTGTATTGGTGTGAACAACAAAAATAATAAAACATGAGCTTGAAAAATGAAAATGTATAAACATAAGTTTCAAACAACCCATAACATGGGGAAATGAAAAAATAAGCTGTTTATAATTTGTCATTTTCCAACGAGCTTGCAGGAGTTTATCTGTTGGTTTGTTAAATACTTTAACAAAGGAAGCAGCAACTTTTCCAATAATGGAATTAAACATAAATCAAAATGAATGTAATCACAGATTATTTCATTGAATAGATGAATGAGTCTGTCCAAATACTGTTAATTTTTTAATATTTATTCTTAGATTATTTGTGACTCAGCTTCATGGTTATCATAATGGTGGCAAGTTAACATGGAGAGCCACAGATTCATTATGTCTCTGCTATCTCTTCGGTCTTTCGTTCTTAGGCGTGGCGTATATGAAGTCAGTTATAAGAACTTTTGATTCATGACTCAGCACAGAATTGGCCTGCAAATCTTCTAGATTTCTAAGCTTTCCAAGATTCTTCAAAGCTTGCGGTTCCTCGAGATCTGCAATCAAAACAGCATATTATAGATAACTTGATTTATCATAGAATTGTCAAATTAATCTCAGCTGACTCGGTTTTAGATTTAGATTTCTGGGTGCCAAGTCTTTAAAAAATAATGCAGTAGTAAACCCGCGATGGGGTGGCATGAGCCTCAATAGGATATTACATAAATTTATATTATGATAATCATGTTTTCAAACAATATGAAAACCCCCGATTTAGCCTATTATTTTTCTTTCCGCCAAACTATATGCGGTAAATCAGGGTTTTAATGTATTTAATATACAAATATTTATGTCATTTCATATAATTATATTTGAGATTGTAGGTTACAATTAAACTTCAAATCATTAATTACCGTTTAAAGACCATAGCACAAGTGAATATTATTGCTGTCACTGCAGGTAGGGCGGCGTATGCTAAGTAGGTCATTCTGTAGGATAGCACCTCTAGAAACACTCCTCCTAGGATCGACCCTGGAATATAACGTGACTGACACTAAATACTTGCAGATATTATGGGAAAATTGAAAGGAATTCATTATTTAAATGATCACTGTACAGGAGTGAATTCAATCAGAGATATGTTTTTTAAAGTTAGCTTTTTCCTGCTAAGGACCAAGGGGGTGATAATAATGCAAATATTTCAAGTCAGTTCCGACAGCTTCTTTAAATTAGAGTAAGAAATTGCAACTACAAGATACACTATGATTGTCACGACATAGTGAACGTTCAGTGAGAGGATCATATACTGACCTAAGAAAATGCCGAAGTAAAGACATGAGTTTTGTAGTCCGGAGAGCTGGGAGTTGAGGGAGCCCCTATTTCCAAGGTGTCGGGTTGCTTTCAATAAACAGGGCAGTCCTGTTACCTGAGGAGTTACAGTGTTACATGTTACATGTTACCATGGTTACCTGAGGAGTTACCAGAGTTTCATTTTACATTTTACATTTTACCTGTTACATGTTTCCATGGTTACCTGTTACCTGTTACCTGTTACCTGTTACCTGTTACCTGTTACCTGTTAACTGTTACCTGTTAACTGAGGAGTTACAGTGTTATATGTTACATGTCACCATGGTTACCTGTTACATGTTTCCATGGTTACCTGTTACCTGTTACATGTTACCTGTTACATGCTACCTGTTACCTGTTACCTGTTACCTGATGAGTTACTAGTGTTTCATTTTACCTGTTACATGTTTCCATGGTTACCTGTTACATGTTACCTGTTACCCGTTACCTGTTACCTGTTACCTGTTACCTGATGAGTTACCAGTGTTTCATTTTACCTGTTACATGTTTCCATGGTTACCTGTTACATGTTACCTGTTACCCGTTACCTGTTACCTGTTACCTGTTATCTGTTACCTGTTATCTGTTACCTGTTACCTGTTACCTGAGGAGTTACAGTGTTATATGTTACATGTTACCATGGTTACCTGTAACCTGAGGAGTGAGGAGTTACCAGTGTTACATTTTACATGTTACCTGTTTCCATGGTTACCTGTTACCTGTTACCTGTTATCTGTTACCTGTTACCTGTTACCTGTTACCTGTTACCTGAGGACTTAACAGTGTTACATTTTACATTTTACATGTTACCTGTTACCATGGTTACCATTGTTACCTGTTATCATGGTTACCTGTTATCTGTTACATGTTACCTGAGGAGTTACCTGTTGCAAATAATTTTGTAATTTTCAAGCTTGAAGCAGAAGGCTTAAAAGCTTTTTATTCTTACCCATGGAATACTGCCAGCGAACCCAGTAATAACCAGACCCAGAATAACAGACACTTCACTAGGTTCGAAGGGAGGGATGGGACCTAGTGCCATATACCCTATAGTTCCCAAGAACAGTCCACTAGCCAGGATAAAGTAGGGTCCGATAGCATCCACCTGGGTTGTTTGAATCGGTTAAGAGGAATTAAACACTCTGCTGTCGTTCATTTGTGCAGTTTAATACCAAATCGTGACTCTTGTGTGTTTAAAGCAGCTTTAATAATGCTGATGTGTTAATTGGAATACCACATTCCCCCTATTAAAGTCTTTAGGGAAGCAATATGGTGCTCCAATTAGTACAACAAATAAAGTACTTCCCAAGTGACTAATAAGCTACTTTTCGAACTAATTATACAGTTAGTTCAAGAAAAGCCTAAACACCCTTCACACTTATAGTTAAACATGAATCATTTAAGCATTCCATTTTGTATTAATTAATGAAATTGAGTAAAATGTCTCACCAAGTATCCCACTATAATGGATCCTATAGCGAACAGGAAGTCTCTGAGCAGGAAGAGTCCTCCTATAGCTGCAGGTCCATACTGGCAGTTTTCCAGAAAAAGGCCCAAAGTTGGCTCTTGATACCCTAGGATTGATGAACCAACAATAGTAGTTAGAAGGATTATGAGTAGTTTACCGTCTGATAGGATTCTTCGGAGTGAGACGCTGTCTGATAGCTGTGATGAATAACCATTATTTAGTGGCTGTTTAACTTTAAATATATCTTGGCATAATTCCATTTGTAGAACTGATTAATACCACTAAATTGGCTGTGATTCAATGCAATACCATAAAACCTTGGCGATTGAGTTTCATTAAATCAAGCCAAGGTATTACATTTTAGAATGTACGAAGTTTTGGCTATGATATCAAGCTGCGCTGCTCATCAAAGCGACCTTATCAGTGCCCAGACTTTTCGGGGATATAACGTCCTGAAAACATTATAAGACTAACTTGCATGGTAGGAACGAAAGGAATGTCTTTAGCGAGGGTAGCCCAGTGATTACCTTCACCACTGTCTGTGTAGCCTGCTACTATCGACTGTTCTAAACCGTCCTGAACGATAGAACAAGTGTTACTGTAAGTTTTTTATTACCGAATAGATGTGGAGAAAAATGTGATTTTTTCGGATTGAATGACTGATTTTTCAAGTAGAGGCAAATCTCGACTCTTTAACCCAGCAACGCAACTTTTTCATATCCCCATTTTATTTTTCCCGTGGTATTCTAGGTGATTAAACAGTAAGAGGGATCTACTCCCAGTCCCAATTATTACAGTCTCCATCGTTATCCCCTCTCATACAATTATAATTATCCACTTTAACAAATTTTCTGATTTTAATGATTTTCTCATATTTTGTATTACCACGTGTACAGGCGATTTTAATTTCCTAATTATGACTACTTCCCCGCCACACTTCCTTTCTACGAGTCTCAAACACGTTAACTGGGCGAGGAAGTAAATTAAGTAAATACTCTTGTCGATAAACTACTGTTATAATAATTAACTCACATGCTCAACGTATGCGTACAAACTAAATAATCTGGTTCTTTTGGATCCGTCTCTGTTGCTGGGCAAGGCAATGTAGATGAAAACCCCCATTAGGAGAGTAAGAACACCCATTACCACAAAGGGCAGGAAGAATCCTCCTGCCGAGTATAGGAACCCACCAACTGGTGGCCCCACCTGAGCAAATTTGATTGTTCATATTTCGAGACAATTAAATTCAGTTTTCAATGAGCTCAGAGACAACATTTACTTAACCGTATTGGTGTCTGATTTTTAAATACTGTGAATAATCTGTATGGGAAATGGGAACATGGCACTTACCATGAATCCGAGGCCGACGGAAGTGGTTAAAATTCCACTAACTTTGCCCAAGTTGTTCGGGAACTTGTCACTGATAATAGTGTACAAGCTAGTGTCTACAAATGCACATCCACATCCCTGAAGATATAAGAGTGGTGAAAATTTAGTAGGGTGAAAGTCAGGAATGTTAAGTTTGTATCTGAACCTCGATCAAATCTGATTCGATGAAGTATTTATCATATTTATGCATGGTTTTTAACGATAAATTGCTGTTCGGTAGATACGAATTTAAAACATTTAAAACATGGGTTAGACATTACGTCATTAGAGCATGTTACATGTCTGTGAATGAAGTAGAATTGTTAATTTGTACCTGTACTATTCGGAGCAAGACTGATACTGCGATAAAAACACCCGTCTGGTTAAATTGATTGATAAAACCTGAGAAAATTAACCTTTAACTTACAGGAAACACCTGATAATGATATCACATCGTAATTAATGCGAGGAAGGCCATTCAATAAATTTTACCACGAAGTTTAATGCACATTTAGGCTCATAGTAGTCGGGTGCCGGGTAGAAAATATTGATTGTTGACTCACCAAAAAGTATGGCAGAACATCCTGCAACAGCAATTCCTAATTTTAATGTGGACTCAACGGTGATCCTGTTGATCAACATAGGTGTGAGAGGGGCTACAAAGAACACTGTTAAGTGGTACATTCCAAGAATAACTCCTATTAGAACCTCTGACACCCCAAACGAGCTGGCATCACTGAAAGTAAAGAGTTAGTTTTGAGAGGATAGGTCGAGTTCTAGTTGGGTAAATTTCAAACATTTGAAACAATGAAGTTGTCCAAGTTTGCATAATAACTGGAATTCGTGAATCATGATGTCTGAGGGTTATACCTGGGATAAAAAGGTGAAGCAAGTGAGGAGACAGTGTTCACAACGAAGGCTGTACAGCACAGGCAGCAGATTAACAATATTCTTGTACCTCCAAACTCGTTTTTTTCATCTTTCGTCAAGATCGGTCGTTTCTCCTCATTTTGAAACGTCATGATAGCTGCGGCTGGGATAAGTGCTTGGTAAGAGTTTGGTAGATATTATCATACTGCTCAAAATTAAAGTGAGACATGAGGAACGGAACGACAGCCTTGTTTCTTGATTCGAAATCAGAAGAATTATTATCAAACTATGAAAACAAATGGCGTCAATGGCAGCTTCATACGATTTTTAGCTGCACAACTAATACCATTACGTCACCAGCCGAAATGAAGAATCCCCCACTTCACTTAATTATACTGCTAGTGCTATAAAAATTGTAAATGGTAGTTTTCCCGTTACCAAGCTCTGTCGTGCAGTCTAAGCTCGATCTTGGCTAAGATCTATATGGAATGTGGCTTGTATAGTAAGTCAATGGATTGGGATGGGCATTGTTAGGGCCAGGGATCATTTACCAAAACTGGCTATACTTATAGTTATACTGTTTAAGTGCTAAAATGATTGTCAGTCGCAAATTTTTTACGTCATGTTTCAGATTGAAACTTTTGTGGTAGCCACTTTATTTTACGGAAAATGTTGAAAAGGTTAGTATCTCGGTTGATATCAAATTCACATTGCAAAACTGCCTTTTCATATAGGGTTACCGCTGTACCTTAGTCATTAGGCAAATTACATGAAAATCTGGTTCGCAAATTACTAGTACATGACATTGGGACGAATTCATTTGGTTACAATTTCGAGTACGGAAAATTCTGAATGGGAAGTGAACATTCCTAGTTCTGATGCTTAACGAACTTTTATTTTAAAACCACGCTCCAATGCTTTTTTAATAACGACGATCAATTACTCACACAACCTAATACCCTAATTTGACAAAACTCACCGCTTAAAATTGCAAAACATTAATCTAATGAGCCAACAGCTGTGATAAAAGGCCGAATATCAATAAATTAACCGTGTGTACTGGTTGGTATATAAATTTGTATGATGTATTTAACGGTGAAACGGATGGTATAATTTGTTCAAAAGAATTAAGCGGCACAAAAATCGATGAGAATATTATGCAATGTTATAAAAAAGCACTGAGCTAAAGATGGTTTGTTTACTATGTTGTTAAAGTGCACAAGGAAGCTGCGTTTTTCCGATGAGTCAATTTTTGTCGAATAAAAAGCTCACCAAACAGCTAACCATTTCTACACTGATGAAGAGTCTTCGCACGATCTGCCCTTGGAGAAATAAACTTAATTTATTAATTTAGGCAACATTCCGTCGATAAAAATAAAAATAGAGAAATAAAACTTATCGGAATATTCAAATACAACAACTACTACATAAGTCCATCCAATTTCCAAATCTCTATGAAATTTGAGCTACATCAATTTTCTGAAGCCAAACGTTCCATCACATCTTAATCTAATCTGTTATCAACAGACGTGTCTTTTTCTCGTTGTAAATAAGAGATTAAAAGTTTTCAATACCCAATAAGACCAGCAACTGCCACCAAGGCGATCGGCATGTTTTTATCTCAACAATGTCCGGTCTCCCAAGTACAACTGCTTAAGATAACCCCAGGTTGGCACCGCCACCACGACAAAATTCCCACCACTATCAAGTCAAGCAAAATCATTTGATATTTTAATGTACGAGGTGCCTGTTCTTAAAGTCTGAGAGTATAATATTCTTATCTGATAAAGATAAGAATTATATACTTGCGGTAAGGTATTTATGGTATCATTGTACATATTGCATATATCATAAAAATGGCCCGTTGTATTCATACATATCATTATTATCATACTAGAATTATAAAATGTTTAAGCTTTGACCATCCAACGAGAACTGACTGTTAATCATTTATTTAGCCCTTATATTGCAACTTCAAGAACAACATCAACCCTAACATGGCCCACAATTCAACAGATCGGGCCGGGCCACGATATGGTCATGAGACATGGAGCAATTTAGAGACTACTTCAACCTATGACTATAAGGGGCCATCTACTAGGACATCCGCCAAAATCCCAGATTTTCAGACCACCCCCCTCCCCCTGTCCGGGTGTGTCCGAATTTTCAAAACCACCCCCCTGACCCTCCCCCGGACGTCCGGATTTCCGGCTACTTTTAAGAGTAAAAATAAAACCAATTCAAATTCATTGAGTAATAAGTGTCAAAGAGTTGACATTAATAGGACTTTTTTCGGACGTCCGGATTTTTAGAAACCCCCCCCCCCATCCCCCTGTCCGGATTTGTCCGAAATTCCAAAACCACCCCCCCCTCCCTATTTACCGGACGTCCTAAGTAGATGGCCCCTAAGAAGCTATGTCTTAAGCTGTGTATTGGTTATGTGTAATGAATTGAAAAGGCTGACCTGATTCCAGTCCGTAAAATGACATTCTGCTAAGTATTTGCTTGTGTCATTTTAAAGATGGTTTTGCTTCCCAAACATTTCAAAATCTTAACTATCGACGAAAAATGGTTGTGGAATTTGACCCGTAAAAAACCATATTTAAATTAAATATGACATATATCGAGAATCGGCTCTTTAGTACCTTCCTTATTTAAAATTATAAGTTGCTCTTATCTCCGAATGGTTAATTTGCGGTAAAACTCTAATTTTGCAGAATTGTGTAAAACTTACATAATCAAGTACATAAAATTCGATTCCGACGTTAACATTTTTGACAAGGACAAAGGAATGCCGTACAATTTGTTCTAAATAATGTTGAAATTTAAAATTTTTACTAAAAAATATCTCCACTTCTGAAACTGACCAAATATTATATCAGTCGAACCTTGAAGTTGAAATAGCGGTAACGTCGAAAATAATCCATTTGGTTACGACTAACAAGACATTAAGAATAATTGTCAAATTATCACTTTTACAATGAATTTTATAATATGACTCAGTGACTCAGTGTTGCATAAGCATGTGATAAGATTATCTGAAATTACTGTCACGTACTAGAATTTGAGCTATGAATCGTTATTTTGAACAAATTACAAACTTTTATCAAAATAATTGATTGTGGATTCAAGATTCCAAATTTAAACAAGACTAAGAAAGATCATTCAATGATCATGTTAGATCATGGTGTAAGATCATGGGGTAAAAAGCTTAGCAAAGTTAACTGTTGAAACGTCAACGTGAAAGTTGGAAGATTTTAAGGATAATTGTTGATATATTTGTTTAATCGCAGGCATCATTTGAATAGTTTAACCAATATGTCAATATATTTCAATAACAGTTATTATACAAATAAGGAGTCGTTCAATTAATATTACGTAATCAGCTGAGGGGGGGGGTCCGGGGTTTCCAAATGATTACGCTAGTGTAATATTGACACAATAGCTATGTGTAAAACAAATTACGGAGGGGGGGTGGAAATGTTCCAAAAAAATGATTGCGTAATATGTGAACGACCAGAGACAAAACATGGTTAAAGAAAGAGGTACACGTTGACAACATGTAACAGTGGTTTCCAGAAGATACCAACGGTATAGGTAACAAAAGTATTATTGATTTAAGTCAAAGCAATCGTATTATTGATATTATATTATTGATATTATATTATTGATATTATATTATTGATATTATATTATATTGATATTATATTATATTGATATTAATATTATGACGATATTTAGCACAACACTCTTAAATATTGGGAGGGGAGGGCTGAGATAAAGATGATGGTGGCGACATAGCTGCATTGCACCTGTGACCTATTCTCAAACAATGGAATCGTGCGACATGCGATTTTACGCCGTTTGAAATTTGAATATCGTGACGGGCTTTAAAAACGCGTTTCATTAAAATCTATAATATTGTTCCTGTTAAATTACTCTGAGAATGAGATTTGGAACATCTCGTAAATGGTTTGCAGATTCCCTAATTCCTAATTATAGTTATACAATATTGAGAGTTTTATAATATTGTTTTTATAATATTGTTCCTGTTAAATTACTCTGAGAATGAGATTTGGAACATCTCGTAAATGGTTTGCAGATTCCCTAATTCCTAATTATAGTTATACAGCTATCCATAACACAATGCCATGACTAAGTTGTTTGATGATTATTTACCAATAAATAGCACTATTGCAGTAACTTCTAGTTTTTTAAGAATCCCGGTTTAGGAAATAATTAATTGGGTTGGTTGCACTTGCAACACCAGAAATCCGAATTAAGTCCATAGTGTTTGGATAATTAATACTCATCGTCCGGTTAGAGAGTAAAGAAGTAGTATTTTCCAAAAAGAAGATTGACGAACAACTTACTAAACTTCTACGAGAACTTATAGAATATACTTCTTAATTTTAGTTTATATTGCATGCCGACAACTGTATCGCCCACGTAAGTGGTAGTTGAAAGTTGGTATTCTGTATTCGCTGAGAATAACATCAAAAATGCTGATGGTCTCCTCGCTGAGATCATTCATTGATTGGAGGAATTGGTGAAGCCATTAGTCATCAACACTCAACAGGGCTATAAAACAGCTATAAAATAGCTTCACCGGTAACTAATTCAAACTTCTTAAACCTCTATACTTATAGAATTAGAACATAGAAAGGCTCTTCCTTCGTTGTTTCATGATTCCGACAGGCACCACGGGCTTCGGCAAGCGTCAATTTTTTTAAGAGAGGAATTTTTCTGTAGTTTACTGCTAGCTCCCACAGCGGCTGATACCGATAGTTTAACTGTTGAAATATTTAAATATTTTCAGTCCTATGAAAAACTTAATCGAGGGTGCTAAATCACTTTACATACATCGCTGAGAAATTTGCGCGGATTGATCTGATTCTGGAATCTTTTAGAAGCCGGTATAAGAAATAAATAAATAAATAAAAACTAGTATACTGCTCTAGCGCAGATAATTGTATAGTTATAGTTTAACTACATTAAGAACAAAAAATTTAGTCTACCATAAATTTACCTTATCGGACCTTATTTGGACGGACATTACTTGAACGCTGGAGGCTCTAGCGTTCATCTTAATGTCCGTTCAAATAAAGTCCGTTCAATTAATGTCCGTCCAAGTTCAAGTCCGTTGAAATTTTTTCCAT